TTCCTGCCTGAGAAGGGGGTTGGACTAGATGACCTCCAAGGTCCCTTCCAACTTTATTATTATTAGTATAGGTATTATTTGACAATAGTGACTTTCACCTATGAGGACAGGGGCCACCACATTTTGCTTTGGATGCAGTTTCCAGGTAATCTTCACAGGTAGCTCCATATATTTTGGAATATATTTTTATGTAATCCATTTCTAAAAGGACTGCTATAAATTCACGCTGTATTTGCAAAGCAGAGGCTGCTCTTTGTCTGAATTTGCAATGCAATTGACTCACATTAAGGCTTGACAGTCCAGGGCAGAGATTTGTTTCCGTTCAGTGTTAATTCAATTTGCTCTTAAACCCCTTTCACCTCCTGAAGAATAGCTAGCGATTCCTTAGTACCATAAAATGGTACTTTACAAAAAATAAAAACAAAAAAGGCCTTAAATAGCACTAGGCAGGTTGTCAAGGAAACTCAGCTAGGACACCAAGCAAATTTAAGATTAATTTATTGCGGGCAGAAGCTGCTATCACTACTTGAGTGGAGGAGTTTGTGTCATAAATCATGGTCTTTTAAAATACTATGTATGTACTGCTCCTACAACTATTACTTCATTTTATCTTTGTTCTATCACCTTGCCATCCCAGAGAGACTTGAGAAACTAAACTAATCAAAAGTAGTGTTGTTGACATCAGGGTGATAGAACTTGTCCATCTGGCCTCTGCAGTAAAAACTTTCCAAAGTTAACATTTGACTTAGACTCTGATAAGATATTACTTCATCCATCTCCAATAAGATGTTACCTTATCTATCCACATATATGTATATTGACAAATACACACACTCAAGCACTGTCAAGTCAGTCAGCCTGTTTGTCTGTCTCTCTATTTATCCATCCATCCATCCATCCACCATCTATCTCTACCTGCAATATTGGTATCTATCCATTTTTATGTCTTTCTAATTTCAACTTTTACAATATCTATCACAGCTGTTGATCATGCTACTGAAAATTCCATAAATTGTGATCCTAAAACATTAGATTAGCATTTTACCACAGTAGAAAACACTTTTGCCATAGGACCTACAGGGCTGCCAAATCTGTGGCCTAGTTGCTATCTCTGGAAGGAGAACTCAAAGCTCCTCATCTTATTTCTTATGAGATTCTTTCTTGGAATAGAGGAGTTCTCTCTAAAATAGGATATATGATGCCCTTAAGTCAGCCCCCTTCCAAATAATTTTGATTTTGGCATACTTAATGTATATCCCACTTCTCTGCATTAAAAAGAAAGCAAAGAAGGAAGGCAAAGAAGCCCTGTTGTGAACAGTATGTGTACATATATTTTTGCAAAAAAATATGTTCAATATTACCATGCTAGGGTCTGGAATGATTTAAGAAAATATGCAGATGACTAACCAAGCTTGTGAAATATTAACATTAAAAGTTTAGCCATTTAAAACACAGCACGGTGCAATGTAGAATTGCCTGGCAAACCCCTGCCTTGATATCATAAATTTCTAAAGCCTTCACATGGCTTCCCATCGGTTTATAAATCCCCCTTCCCCATCCCATGCTAAGGGAGAATAAAATGCTACAGAGAAGGTAGCTTGTTGATTCACCAGCTTGGCACCAAGTTAAATAGCCAGCTAAGTGCAAGGCAGTGGGATGCAAGCCAGAATCCTATAGCCATTTAATAGAGATTCTGGTCTCAAGCAGTGAGAACAGCATGATAGATGAAGAGCATCTAAGATTTTCAGTATTATTACTGCTTGTGGTGATGAACAAAAGGGTTGCTTAACTCCACTGTGTTAGCAATGGATAAATGACTGACCCTGCTTTGCCTTTGGGTGACCTCCCAAGTATGATTTTTATGGCAGCAGTGAGGAAGTTGAAGCAGTGCTTCAAGCCACATGCCTTGTGCTTATTTTCATGCCTTTGAAGAAACCTCTCTGCAAAGGGTCAATTTAGAGAGTAGGGAAAGAGAAACAATGGGAAGAATCAGATAGGAGATGGGGGAAGGAAGGAGAGAGGGAAGGAAGAAAGGAGAGAGGGAAGGAAGAAAGAGAAAGAAAGAAAGAAAGAGAAAGAAAGAAAGAAAGAAAGAAAGAAAGAAAGAAAGAAAGAAAGAAAGAAAGAAAGAAAGAATAGAAAAATGCACAATTTTAACTTTGGTCAATAGCTTCCTTCTCAGTTGTTTACTCTCAAAGGAGTAAAGTACTTTGTTGAAAGATATTTCAATTGCTGATCTTAATGTGAAACCTACTAAAAGTTATCAGGTTTTTTTTTCTGAATCAGAAAACCCAAGCTAGAATTCCTTTGCGCTAAAAAAGATCATTTTAAGCATGTTTCTTAAAATAGTTTTATTTGGGGAGGAGGCTTCAAGTCATAGACCAAGGTTAACCAGCTAGATTTATTCCTAAAGCCAATCTAGGACACATAGTCTCCTGGTTTCTAACCTGGTGCTTTAACCAGAACATCAAACAGGTTCTCTTTGGTTATTATAGTTGTTAAAGAGAAAGTGGATATAATGTCCACAATCAGTAATCAGCATGATTGGAGGAGTTGTAATCCAATACAATTTGCAAGTCTGATATTAGGAATGAAGTACTAATGGATTGTACTGGCTATTTATTTATTTATTTATTTGGTTTATAGTCTGCTCGGTTTCATCACAACTCAAGGTGGTTGTGGTTTGACCTAAGGAATGAGAACACGACTATCATTTAATTTCATAATTTTGTTTTTTTATCAAATGTATTTTCTATCTGCTTGTCATATTTGAAGAATAATTTCAGAATGGCAGTTTTTTTAAAAGGAAAAGTAAACCTCCATTTGTTCAACTTCTAGGTTATAGTACTGAAACAGTTTGCCATTGCTTTTTTTGGGATTATTATCGGTGGTGGTTGTGCTGGTTTTTTAGATTGCAGCCTTAGAATTTCCAGGGAATGGTTCTTATGCCAATATAATCAAGTCTGACCCCTTCAGGTCCCAGACAAGGACAGCCAGACACTGCCACCGTCCTGGACCAAAATAGGCATACAAGATACAAAAATAAAAGCATACAATAAAGCTAGATCAAATTACAAGTAAAAAACACTGTACTGACCTGCAACAACAAGAAGCTTTCCTATGAGCTATATTTGCTCATGCTGTTCTTTTTCTCACCCACCCCCCTTTAGGAATGTCTGCTTCTGGCCCCATGGGATTATTTTTTTTTCAAGTGGGGATTTTGAGATACCAAAGATACCAAACATGTTACATTATGCTATAATTTAGAAGCTTCCACAGAGGTATTCTGCTTTCTAATGTATGCACAGTGGTATGGAGTTCCTTAATAGTATATTTAATATTGTAGGGCAGTGATTCCAATTTGCTTTGAAGCCAACTATGTCAACAAAGGTAGATTTTGAAATCCCACAGAACACATCTGTATCTTTTAAATGTCTGCTTGCAAATGTAATTACAGTTGCTTACTGATTCTGTATTATGGCTTTGTTCATTCTGATAACTGGTATTCATTAGTCTTCTGCCTCTGCAATCAAAGGTGGGACCAATATGTGTCTCTGTGTCTCTGTGTTGATGCCAAATCTTGAAGTACACTAAATGTTGTGTAACATTGTGGTAAGAACTGAGTCTCTGCAAATTTACATCCTCTCATGTTGTCTCATGATAAATTGGTTTTATTTTATTATTTGAGAACTGCCTAGATCAGTTGGAATATCCTGGACAGTGTGTAAATCAAGATAAACAAAAAACAAACACATAGTGATGACTGTGGAACAAAATTTTATTCCCAAAAGTTGTTTCTTTCTTGCTTGTTTGTAATGGACCTTGCCTTTGAGTAGGAAATTCATCTTCTATGTACACCAGAACAGAAAAGTAAAAAGAAATCTTAAGTTAAACCAAGTTAATGCTTTTTTTAAACTTAATTTACATGAAAAGGGATAAGAAAAGAAAGACCAAAACATCAATCCAAACAGAACATTTAGGTTCCAGTTAGAGACCAATGGCCAAGAAAAGCTATTCCTCTTGGAATAAAATTCCACTTCCACAGGCATTTGGAGAGTCATTGTGGAAAATAGGACATTAGATTAGGAAAGGTTGGTATGATTCATCAAGATGGATTTTATGTTTTTTTTATCAAAAACATCACTATCTTTTTCTTTTCAGCTCAAACTAGTATTTATTGCCAAGGATTCTTATTAATGTTATTATTTAGAAGTAGCAAAGTTAAAGCACTGCCTCCCTCACTAACTATCCTTGAGTAGGTAGGGATGAGAAATAGTGATTGGCCTGATGTTTACTACTGAGCTTCCAAAGTTGAGAGGTGGCTTGGAAATGGACACCACAATTTTCATGCAACATCTTAAGCACTATGTTGCTATCCACATATCACAGCAAAAGTACAAATAAAATAATCTGAACAAATCAATGCCTCAAAAATTCCTACAATATAGCTAGAACATATATAGCCTCATTTCAATATTTCTTAATTCTATTTGGTTATTTCTTTGTTTTACAGTATTTATAACCTTCAATCCCCAAAGACCCTGGACAGTACACCATATCAGTGCTAATGATCTTATCTAGTTTGGATAATGAAATGTTTGCAAGAAAACAATCAAGCTCAGCGAGCACATTATTTCAACCCTGAGCCACAAATATTCTCCTGTATCATAAACAGGAGTGCTTGAGGGTATGGCTAAAAAGTCAACATGGTGACCATGAGAGCATAATGGAAGCTTTGGCTATTTTTTTAATGTGCTTTATATGTACATCATGCATAAAATATGGACGGAGCTTTGCTATCATGTTGGTTTTTTTAAACCATATTCTGTGGACACCTCTGAACATAAGGAACACCAGAAATATCATAATAAATTGGAGATCAGAACAATGTTCAAATCCAAAAATAATCATAGCTAGTAAGAATAAGCCCATAAGTCATTCCTGGTGACAAATGCCTCCTCTGCAGAACAGCAGCTTAAATTCTGTGCTTCTTGTCATAGGGAGCTGAAAGGAAAATCCGAGATGAAGAAAGAAAGCAAAACAGAAAGAAATCGAAAGGCCAAGCTTCTCAGACAGCTTGCCCTAATGGTGAGGATACAATCTCTTTCTCTTGGTCTATACCAGGGGTAGGCAACCTCGGCTCTTTTATGACTCGTGGACTTCAACTCCCAGAATCCCTGAGTCAGCATAGCTGACTCAGGAATTTTGGGAGTTGAAGTCCACGAGTCATAAAAGAGCCGAGGTTGCCTACCCCTGGTCTATACAGCGCTCAGTGTGGTGCGAATAATATCTTCCCAGTCAGTAACCTTCTCTTCCATTTTCCCTGAACAGCAGAAGGGAAGTTGACTGCTGTGCCTCTCCAAAAGAAGAGTGACATCACCTATTTTAAAACTATGGCTGACCTGGATTCCCAGCCTGTTCTTTTCATACCAGATGTTCATTTTGGCAATCTTCAAAGAGCTGGACAGGTAAGAAATCAGACAATGTGAAGGCCTGCCTGGCAACATTTTGGTCCATCGTCTATTTCCCAGAAATAAATGAGCATGATCCATTCTGTGTAAATAACTTTTGGGAGTCCACTGACATTCAGATGAAGCTGTCTTCTTCCAGATCAGATTATTTGACCAGCTAAGCTAGTAGAGCATACTAGAGAATGGTAGTGGTAATCTTGAATCTGCAAAGGCTCATTCATGTCATTATTTCATCTTGTTGCCAAAGACTGAATAGAGAATTTTCTGTATGCCACTCACAACTTCTCTCTTTGAGGTGTGGATCACAGCTGAAATTAAATCTAACTGAACAAAATCTATCTATCAAAATCTAGCTCTGTTGCTCAGGGTAACCAAATTTAAAACAGAAAGGGCAAGAGTTAAATATTTCTTTTAATCTACTATTATTTAATAGCTGTTAACATTTAAAATAGTGAGTTACTGTCAGTTAAAAAGTATTTTCCAAGATTGAATAAGTAAAGCTGAGGTTTTAAAGTCAAACAGTTCCTCTGATCATGATTCTCTTTTTAATAAAGGAATTCAAGGGAAAACTGTTTCAAACTCTTCTCAACAGAATAAGCAGAAATTTTAGTGCATCCAAATGTGACCCCTGTCCCAGAAACGCTGTGTCTTCCTCCCCATATTAAAATGTCAAATCTGATCCCTAGCATCAAATCAAATATGTCTGGAAAGTATTCTTTTAAAGCCATTTTTTCACATTAAAGCAGAGCCACATCTTCTCCACAGAGTTAAAGGGTGTCAACTCTTCCAAGATGGGAAGAAATGCAGAGAGAAAGAGAAGAATTTCATCCTATCCATTTTTCTCACAGCAGTTTACACTTTTGGCAGACAAACCAACTGTGTTTACCTGACTTTGTTTAATTCAAACAAACAACAGAGAATGGAAGAATTCTAAAGAATGAACAGACATGACCTGTCAGAGACTTTTTCTCACAGGTCCTCTAGAAATGAATGGGGCATGCCAAAACTAAGCAAAATGAGCAACTGATTTACGGTATATGAAGAAGTCCGTATTAATGGCTTTGCCCCCTTCCTTGATTTCCTGGAGACACCATAACTATAAATTTGTTTGTTGTTCTTTTTTGCAGGTTTATTATAACACCGATGATGAACGAGAAGGGTATGACCTTTACTATACATTTTGTAACTAAGAATCCAACCCCCTTATACAAAATATAAATATAAACATGAAAATTCTAGTGCAAATTAAAGCTATGTAATTTTTTCCCCAAGAGTGATGTTTCTTTTGTTGTAGCAATTTTTATTGCTTCTAATAGAAGTGATCTGATATTTATTATCATAATCTGCATCTCCTGAGATATAAATTTTGGCTAGATATGCTTTAAAGGATGTCCACATCAGTGAAGCAAGGCAAAGCAAATTCCGTAGTATAGAAGACTTAATTTTTTTTAACAACGAATAATGCACATTAAGAAAATGCAGTTCAGCTCGCCAATTTTGAAATATTTTCTGGAAATAATCATTAGTAAATCACTCTGGAGCTCAGTGACTATTGGAATTTCCTCTTAGCTCCACTTACCTTCCTGTGATCTGCATGCCTGCCTTGTTGGCCATTAGAGTAGAAACTGCTTCATATCTATGAATAACACTAAAACAGATCCCCACAATTAAACAATGTGATCTGCTAGGACCTAGAAAGTATACCTCCTCCATCACAGAGCCTGCTCTCTGGAACTGGATCCCCTCCAGAAATCCATATGGCTCCTACCCTAATGATAAACTGGAAGTCTTTGACAACCTGGCTGTTCTCCCAGATCTTGGGGCAGGGAAGACTTGTAGGTCACTTTTTATTGTTATGTATACTTTTCTTTCCTTGATATCCATGATCTGCTTTTTAATTTTGAGTGTTTCTAGCTTTTGAAGCATGAGCTGCTCAGGGAAATTTGAAATCAGAAAGCCTCTATATTATATAAAATAAATAAATGGAAGCTTAGTTCCTCAGAGTTCTAGTTTTGGTAATATATATAAATAGAAAACTGGTTTATAGTCTTAACTTTTTTTGTGTCTACCATAGTATCTTACATAATGTCTCAAGCTGTTAGTTTAGATAATATATCAGTATTATGCCCATAGAATTAACAATACCTTGTTCTTAGAACAGACCTATCGAAAGTACTAGCATTTTCTTAAAAATTATTATTTCATCATTTCATTGTAAAGGCTGATCTTGATTTTTTTTCCTGTAATTGATTAATTGATCTATGTATATTGCGTTTTAATATAGTCTGAATGAAATTATAACACATGATGTTTCATGGAAATAATTAGCTGGAATTTGGAGAAAAAACCATTAATGTTGCCTTCTGGATGTTTTAAACAGTGAGCAAATATACTGAAATAGCCTTGCCTGATGACTTCTCTCGGGGAAGAAATAGAATTAAAGTAGCAGTCTAGAGAGTAGAACAAATCCATAGTACTTACTACAACTTTTGCCTTGGTATCTATCAATATACATTCTACAGCAAGAGGGATTTAAATCCCATCAAATAAAGTTACATCAGATTCAGTTAGTGTTAAGATGGATATTTCATCTTTAGTTAATCTTGATCAGCAGTCTTTCCCTGAACAAAGAGGAGGATTATTATCAGGATCACATGTGTAGTTGCAATTAAGCTGATTTATTGCTCATACTTATGCCCATTTACTAAACTAACAACACTAATTTGGCGCTGTATAAGAGTTCAAGTAATATTGGACTTAGTCTGTTGGTAATTACACAAAGATTCTACGCTGATTCCTCTTTTGACTCTGCCACTCATTGTCCTATAATTATTGTACCTTGATTAATTTACAAATCTATTTCTTTCTGTTTTTCTGCTCAGTGGTAGTATTCTAGCTAAACGGATATTCCGCACAGTTGAAGAGGACTTTGTTCCACCACCGTTGAAACAAATAAAAGAAGAAGGAACAAAGAGAGGTACTTATTTGCTCTTAGACACTTTGTCTTATATTCCTTGTAGCAATTGATGATCAACAAAAATACACAATACTTTCCCAACTGGATGCCTCCAAGATCTAAGGAGTAGCAGTTCCCCAGAAGATGCAGATTACAGCCCAATACATTTGGCAGTTATTGAAAGTTTGGTTAGAGTTTTGGACATAGTTGAGAAACAGCTAGGCTCAAAACCTCAAAACCAGGGTATATCACAAAATCACATAAATGCATGTTATAGGTAAATTACAGGTAGATCTTACTTACTGATGGTAATTGGGACTGGGAACTTCATTACTAAGCAGTGTGGTTGTAGGATGCAACATCAAATGGCTATGCTGATTTATGACAGCAATCCCAATTGCCATTGTTAGGCTAATCCTACATGGTCTCAGCATCCCTGGATCATGTGGTCACTGTTTGCAACTTCCTGCTGGCTTCCCCAACGTCTTTGTTTGTTGGAAGTCAGCAATAACAGTAGCAAATGGCAACTTCACAGTCACGTGACAGTAGGAATGCCGTGATGGTTGCCAGTACGAGCACTGTTGTAAATGCCCTTCATTCTGCATTATCCTAACTTTGAATGATTGCTGAATGAGTAGACTTTAACTGAGGACATCTATATTTGCTGATGTTACTGTTGAAACCTCACATTGGAAATGATGAAGGGACTATTGGACAATGTATGAAAAAACTATATTGGTGATTTATCTTGTTTTATCAGAACACTACAGATAGTCCTCGACTTACAACCACAACTGGGTCTAAAATTTCTGTTGCTGAGACATTTGTTAAGTGAGTTTTGTACCATTTTACAACCTTTCTTGCCACAGTTGTTAGGTGAACCATTGTACTTGTTAAATTAGTAACATGGTTGTTAAATTAATCTGGATTTCGTATTGACTTTGCTTGTCAGGTTGCAAAAATTGATCACGGGACATCATAAATATGAGTCAGTTGCCAAGTGTTTGAATTTTGATCAGATGGCCATGAAAATGCTGTAATGGTTGTAAGTGTGAAAAACAGTCATAAGTCACTTTTTTCAGTGCTGTTGTAACTGCGAACAGTCACTGAATGAACTGTTGTAAGTTGAGAACTACCTGTAATTATTTTGCCCTTGTATCCCAAAAATAAAATTCACAGATTTGAGTATTTGCTTTACAAGTTACTGGATTTTTTAGTTATTGATTTGTAAATTTTATATCAATGATGGCAAGTCACCCAATTCTATAGTGAACGTCAAGAACTCAATTCTATGGAGAACTTCAATGTAACTACCTTGCATTGATTTGGAAGCTCTAAAAGTTTTAAGAAATACCGCTATTCATAACACAATTTATTGGAAGGGGAAAAAAGGACACCCTATTTCCAAATCAGCTAATATGCCTCTTGCCTCATGACATACTTATTTTCTAGGATAGTTTTATTTTTAATAGAAGTGCCTGGCTTTTTTCAATTGTCATTTGGTGGAAAGAAAGAAATTGCCGTCCAAGGAAAATGATTCATTTGTGAAACTGTTAAACGTCTTCTCCAAAATTTGGTTCTTTATTTTTCAGTTCTCCTGTATGTGAGGAAAGAAGCGGATGAAGTGTTTGATGCTTTGATGTTAAAGTCTCCCACAGTAAAAGGACTTATGGATGCAGTAAGTATTTGTCACCTCATCTCACATCTTATTGTATTAAAGCAACAAGCATACTTTGATTTGGTTTTCTGGGGTAATTGCGGGGAAAAAATAATAATTTTATATCTATACAAACTTAAAAAAAGACTGAACATTTATTCAATACCAACCAAATGCCACAGAAAAATGACATTAATCAGCAAAATATTTATCATACGCATAAATTGACCATGTGTAGAGAAAAGAGTTATTCATTGCAATTATCCTTGGCTACTGATATTCCTTTCCAAGAAAGCTATTCCAGATTGAAGAGGAACTTGAAGGAGTTCATGTCCCTTTTGTTTAGAATGACTTCTTTATTTTTGTCTCTGAACCTTGAAAAAAAAAATCAGCCATAGCAGCGATTCTATGGAAAGAGTATAGGAGATTCTCCCCTAATCTCTAAAAATATCAGTCTGACCACTGCGAAAGTAAGAAATCTCTTATACCTAAATTGGACGTGCAACTTTTAGTTATTATTTCTAATCTCAATGTTGTCCCAAAAACAATTTGTTTTCTAATTATTTTGAAGTTCCTCTCTATTTTTCTTGATCTCCAAATCTGTGTGAATCAAGCATGCGGTAATTTCCCCAGTCCCCCCCTTTTTAAAAACTTTCCATAACTCTTTCCTGCATTTCATATCTTGGGCAAATAGATCCCAAATGTTGGAAGAGTGAACTAAAAGGTTGGTGGATGTTGACAAATAAATTTGACTGCATAAGATGAGAAGGGATGATGAAAATGTGAAATTGTTGAGCTGAGAAAGACTGCAGAGCAGACTGATTGATTATTTGTATACTGCCTACTGAGGTAACTCTTACATGGATTACTGCAGTAGCTTAAAACATCCATGAAATCAATTTTAAGTATTAAAATATTTTAAAATATGCTGCTATTTTCCATTAAAACTCACCCAAAGGCCCAACTGGTTTCTTAAAGGATAAAATCAACATTTTATTTAACCCCAGACAGTAATTCTTCCAATGTAAATGGATTGCCCATTAAGAATGCCACTTTTCTCATTCTCCTCTCCCGCTGCATCCCTCCAGGATGGGTAGCCACAGAATTTCCTGGCCAATTTATGTTGAGTGGTGGATTCTCCTGGAAAAGACAATCCCTGGTAGCAAAAGCCTATGCTACAAAGAATTTTATAGGCCAAACCCAGCATCATAAATTATGCCTAGAAACCAGTGAAGCTGTCCCAAAATAGGTACATTCTATTGCAAGCAACTTTATTCTGAGTCATTTTTAAACTCCAATAGTTTGTCTAAGATATGACAAAAGTAGCATCCATTCCTTTAACATCTCTGGTCTAAAATGACACACAATTGGTGGAGCCACCAAACCTGGGCAAAGGTTCTCCTGGAGGAGCAGTAAATCTGGAAGAATCCCCACTTTTATGCAACAGGTCTTTCTGTGGTATTCAATCCCAATAGGAACAAAAGATGGAAATTTGTGGAACTAAATGACTTCCATGCCTAGAATAATGCTGTCTTGCTGTGATTCAAATATTGACATTGTTTATTTGTACAATTTATTAGGTTGCTTTTTTTACAGGCAAGTTTATTTATTTCCTCTAGTTTTTAAGTGAAAATGTTTATTTTAATAATAATTAAATAATTATTATAATGTATTTATTGTATTTATGGAAAATATATTATTATACATTACTTTATGTTCCTTCTGGTGTATTTCAAAAACGTCATCATAAAAGGCAGTGGGAACAAATAAATGGCTCACATTCATTGATGGCTCTTGCTAAATAGGTCTGCTTGCCAGAAAGTATAAAGCAGGGGGTCAAATTGCTGGCCTGCATGCCAGATGCGTCATGCCAAAACCGCGCCCACCCCATGGCCAGCAATGGAAAAAAGGTTGCGACACGTCACGTGTTGTTGCAAGTTTGACACCTCTGGTATAGAGTTTAGAACGCAGAAATATTTTAACTGGTGCACTTTTTAAATTTATGTTGCATTTCAATGCAATTACAAACATGTTACAAATCTTTGCAACAGTGCCATTTTGATGATCTTCATATTTCACTTCCCATAAGGGAAGGAAATCTTTCATAGATATATGTTATACTTTGATAAGGCAACATAAAATGTTTTTTCTTAAAATTGCATACTCATATACATGGATTCATGCCCAATTGAGTTTGGAAGCTCTTGGCACTTTAGCCTTAGCTATGTTTTCAGAACTACAGCCCATCATAATCGTAAAGCAAATGTTCCATTGTTTACAACTTGCACATTTCTCCCATTTTTCAAATTTTGATCTGTGGGCTCACCCAAACTTTTCATACTTGACAGTATTTTCTTACATTTATTATTCATGTCATGTTTCTTCCTTTTACAACAGCACAGGAGAAGAATGGTCAGTAAATCTTCTCATTCTGCTTTTTCCAAAGACAAGAAAATAATATGGCATTCTTGCAAGCCAATTGTTATAACAGGAGCTCTCACAGGTAGCCATTGTATTGTCAAAAGCTCAGAAGAAGCAAGAATAGGATTGCTGAACATAACATTCAGACATTGGGGAATAAAACTTTTTAATAAGTTGAAAAGAACAATAATGTAATGCACAATCAAATGAGAAGCAATGTTAAGTTTTGGAGAGACTTATATAAGAGAGACCATATAAAGGTATTTGGGACATATACATACTAAATATAAAGCATGTATGTGTACCTACATACTTAATAGAATATTTGTAAGTACAGGTAATCCTCAATTTACAACAGTTCATTTAGTGATTGTGACTGTGGCAGCATCCCCATGGTCACATGATTTACATTCTGATGCCTGACAATTGATTCATATTTATGATGGTTGCAGTGTCCCAGGGTCATGTAATTACCTTTTGCAAGTCAAATTTATTTAACAACCATGTTACTAATTTAACAACTGAAGTGATTCACTTAACAAATGTGGCAAGAAAAATCATAAAATGGGACAAAACTCAGTTCAACAAATTTCTCACTTAGCAATATAAAATTCTGGGCTCAATTGTGGTCGTAAAACTTCCTGTACTATTCAAAAAAACAATTCTGGAAACTGGATATCTCAGGACTGTTGTTATCATTGACAGTTATGTAGAAATTACTAGTAAGTGATTAAAAGCAGTGACTCAGATCCCTGGCTTGCAATAATTTGCCACCATATCCATAATGATTAAAACAACAACTACTGGATCTGCTTGCTATCACTGCTGACTGAATTTTTTAATTATTCTTTACCTCCTGTTTTCATGACAAAAGTCTTCCTGCTTTTACTTGTGATGCAGCACTGTTGTTTCTATCTTTATGAAGAGCAAGTCAAAGTCCCCTAAAATTGCTTAAGAGCTTTTCTCTGTTGCCATTTTCCCTTGGCTTGACTTTGAGACATAAGAGAAGGTGTGAAGTGAACTCTCTTTGCAACCCAGAATCAATTTTGTAGACTGGTTTTGTCCCCAGGTCGATGGGAAATGTTTCATTTCCAAGTTGCCTTTTTGCTCAGAATAAATCCCAAAGGTGAAATACAAATAAAAATTAAGACATAATTAAAACACTTAAAAATACATACACCATAAAATTAAAAACAGAGATTAGAGATAATTCATTTCAAATTGCTGGCAAGCCAAACTGAGCAAACCAGATTTAATAGTCTGCTTTAAGTTTAAAGAGCCATTCTGCAGGTAAAGACCTCGCATAACTAGTTTCCATGCCAGTATTATCCTTTTCATTGGCAGATACATTTCATTTATCCAGATAAATATTTTTCTCAATTAAGAACAGTCATTCACCACCAATGACGGAATCAATAAAGTCTGTCCATAAGCAAAGGGAATGAGCTCTTGATTGAGAAAATGGCATGTCTTCAATCCCTTTTACCTGTTAAATTAGAAAATACATATCTGCAACAACTTCATTATGCACATGATGCAAGTCACATATTTGTACCATATTATTTCTACAATAGCGTCTCTGAACCATCAATATGGATGAGCAGGGATAGTGATCAATTGCTCTAATGAGCTGGGAACATTTGACCTGATTATGCACACTAGGAAGATAATTATATAAGGGGATCCATCCTGTTCTCTTTTTTCCCCCAATTAGATTTTTTTTCCTTGCATTTCAAACACTCTTGAGCCTCCTCCCAGGCATTTTAACTCTTTTTACAGAAATTCAGAGCCGTCTGAGTTATTTCAAGAAATGGTATTGAGGAAGAAATGCATGATCATAACTAAAACGAGATTTGAGTTTTAGACACATAGAAATTCACCATGATTGGGCATTAGGATTTTATTTATGGGAACGCACTGGGGATCAGAGGTTCCATTCTAAAGGAAAGGCCAGTTTAATCCAGTGTTTCTCAGCTTTAGCAAGTTTGATAGAGGCGGTCTTCCATTCCCAGAATTTCCTAGCAAGCATGCTGGGGAATTCTGGAAATTAAAGACCATACTTTTCACAGTTGCTAGGCTTGAGAAATATTGATAAATGCTTCCCTGTTGCCTTTCTCCAGCAGCCTTCTGCGCTGTTGTTGTGAAGGACTCTCTGGAAGTTTTTCAAGAGGCACAAGAAGGAAATTATAATAATTAAAAAAAAAGAAAAAAAAAGAGAAAGAAAAAAAAATATCATAATTAACCCTGTATTCTGCTCTGGGAAGTAAAGGGAGGGGGGGTGGGGGTGGGAGGGAGGGTAAGGGGGGGTTCTCTATTTTAAAATTTTATTGTATTTTTATAAATGATTGTATGTTTTTTAAAAAATAAAAATTTTCAAGATAAAAAAAAAAAGGCACAAGAAGGAATAAGGAAAAAGAGGTATCTTAAATATTACCTCCTGCTCCTTTTTTCCAGTCTATTCTGATCCAACTCCGAGCTACTTTCTCAGTGCAGAAAAGCAGATGAGGTGATGATCCTTTAATCCTTTACTTTAATGTCTGCAATTTGATTGTGTTGACCTGCAGTGGGGAAAGGTCCTTGCTTTGATGTGTTGTGAAATCTGGTTGCCAAGGACAGTTTGTATCCTCCCCAACCTCTCTTGACATGTTTTCCCAATTTGAGAATGTCCCTGAAAAGTTAGTTTGTTAAATTTAGAAAGACAGAGGAGTGTGTCCTTTGAGAAAAAATGCAGTAACAATTCTAAGATCTACGTTTCTTAAGTGAAGAGCATGCTGCGGTGTATCTGCTCCGAGTCTCCATAAACATAAATGGATAGACTAAATCTTCTATGCATTATCAAGATGGAAGAACTATTCTGGTAGTACTGAGAACATATGGGAAACACGGAAACACAGCCATTACTTGGGAGATTTTCTGTTCGAATAACTGTGGGGGAAAAAATAGCTTGGAGATAGAGAATTGCAAAAACTCATAGTAAGGTAGTGGTTTTGCTATATGCAGTAAATAAAAATATTTTATAACTGAGGGTTTTGGGAACAGTTGAGATAATAGGTAATATTTCAGAGGATCATCCATTACCTCCAATATTGTTTGGAATCATTTGAGTTTCTCTTCTGTCAGCAAAATCTCTCACAAGAATTTTTCCCTGCAGTCCTGGTTGATGCCATAAATGGGGATCAGAGATTCCATGTTGCACATATACCGTAAATGCCGGCGTATAAGACGACTTCCGCGAGCGCTGAAATCGGCGCCAAAGACGGGGGTCGTCTTATACGCCGAGTCGTCTTATACGCCGGAAATACTGGTAGTTTCCGGCGTATAAGACGACGTTCTAGGAATGCGGCCCGGCTATACAGACGGGGGTCGTCTTATACGCCGGGTCGCCTAATACGGCGGCATATACGGTAACTTAAAATATCTCAGTTGTAATATACTTGAAGGAACTGCTATAACTCATGCTTTGGGTGCCCACATTTTCTTAGAACCAACTAGGTTCTTCATATGGATTCTCTTTTGGGGGTGAGGGCTGATGATTCATTGTCTTCTTTATAAGGTGCTGTAGCTTAATACCTTTCTCAGTTTGGGTTTCTGTCAAAATGTCCAATTAAACTCCCCAAATTTCCAAATGGCACACAGAAGGAATTCTATTTTATGCTTCTGTGTGCCTCAGTTGGCCTCTAGTTGTACAGCCACAGATTCAACTAAAACAAGAAAATCCCACTTTGCTTGATATATTCCAAAATTATTCGCATTTATACCAAGATATGTGTTTTTGGATTATAAATGCAATCTGATCATAATGCCATGCATGGAACAGCTTTTTCCCACCCCAGCTTCCATCAAGTGAAGCTTCTGGGTACTCTTCAAGGCTGTGCCATATATTTCCATCTGTCCGCTTTCACGAAACCAAAGCATGGTTGGCTGCAGCTGGATAAGGAAAGTGTATTATCATCGTCTAGAATACTCTTTCAACATTTGGAAATTTAGGCATAGCATCAGATCATGGTATACTCCCAAACTGCTTTCACTAATCTGCAAAGTTTTTGCAAGGAGATTCACTTTTGATCTTAGGGACTCAGTTCTTGGACAGTTGATCTTAATTCATTCTTTAGAGGAGAAGCCTGTTTTAAATCAGTAGAGATTAAAGCCACAAGAAGGAAACCATGCGGAAAATGTAGTATAGACAAATATTAAAATATTAAAAGCAGCAGAAAATTCAGCTACACCTAAAAGTGCTCCATTTCCCGTGTGTAAGTCCCACTGTGTTCTGCAGAACCTGGAGTGCAGTCTAAGTCTTCCAAGTGTACTAAGAAGAAGGGGCATTGTGTAGCCTGCCACGAATTGCCTAAATCTAACTGAGAACAGTGATTCTGCAGTAAGTTTACTTTTAATAAATCTATCTCCTTTTCTTTTTTTTAAAAAAATATAGATTTCTGAGAAATATGGCCTTCCAGCTGAGAAGATTACAAAGCTTTATAAAAAAAGCAAAAAAGGGTAAGAAAAACAAACTAATCCTGCAGTTCATGTTTTTATAAAATAGTCCTGAGACCACAGCTAAGCTTTTAAATCTTTCATGCTCTGATATATACTCAACACTTCAAGACAGATTCCCAGCTCCAGGTTTACACAGGGATTGCAATAGATATGAAATCAGCCGCTGGCCTCCAATTAATCTGAGTGGTTCTGCTATAGTATTACTTAACTTGTTGCTCTTCAGATATGTTGAACATATTCCATCACTGGACAGCATGGAGATGCTGCAAATGGTGTGAATTGTAGTCCAGTTCTTCTGTAGAGCAGCAGATTAGTGGAAATTGTTCTTGGAGGCTAGCAGCTTGGAAAGGTACCTTCAGCATGAGTTTTGGAAGCTATAGCAACAGTTTCTTCCCCTACCACTTGTGTTTTCTGGGGAGCCACAGTGGGCTAGCTTCCCCTACTTGTTGCTAACAATGCCCTTAGCATTTCTCAAATTGGCTTTGGGCTTTGACCCAAGTAGCTTAGGAATAAGCTACAATTCACCTAATGATAATAGCACATAACAGCACGAGAATAAACCACTTGTCTCTTTTGAATGATGTGTAAATATATAGGACTAGGGGTGACATGATAGCAGTGTTCCAATATCTCAGGGGTTGCCACAAAGAAGAGAGTCAAGCTATTCTTCAAAGCACCTGAAGGCAGGACAAGAAGCGATGGATGGAAATTAATCAAGGAGAGATGCAGCGTAGAACTAAAGAGAAATTTCCTGACAGTTAGAACAATCAGTGGAACAACCTGCCTCCAAAAGTTGTGAATGCTCCAACACTGGAAGTTTTAAGAAGAGACTGGACAACCATTTGTCTGAAATGGTATAGGGTTTCCTGCCTGAGCAGGACTAGAAGACCTCCAAGGTCCCTTTCAACATTATTATTATTATTATTATTAGTAGTAGTAGTAGTAGTAGTAGTAGTAGTAGTAGTGGCAGGAAAAGCTACTATATACAAACCCCACACCCAATAGCACTGATGTTACCTGGTTGGGTAGTAAAATATCTGCAAGTTAACAACCAGGCTCAGAGACCATCAAGGATTCCAGTTCAACTCTGAGCTACATATATGCTCTTCTGTTGGAACACCTAAATGAGGTCACTATCTTGATTTCCCTTCAATTAATTTACCATAATTTACTTATAGATGTCTAAATTAAAAATTCCTCTATGGAATCTTGCCTCACTTCCAGACAATTTCCACTACAGCATCAGTTCATCAAGCTTGATATTGTTTACTCACTGGCCTTGAGCCTCAAGCAAATGTTTTTATCAGTACTACATTTTACAATGTTTTAACCCAATCTCCTCAAAATAGCCCTGGACATGTTGGCTTACAATTTCAGCCATTCCAGCAACTAAGGTGAAAATTGAGGTATATTAAAGTTGTAATCTGGCAGCATCTGGAATTTATGCTTTCTGCTTCCTGCTGTGGTGCACAGGAATTATATTGTAAAAATATTTTTTTAAAAAAAAAATAAAACGAAATAACATAAAAAGCTGTATAGGAGAATTAAGTGGATTCCCCTAGCATGGGCCTAACTGGAGAATTAATATGAATTTGAATCATTAACAGTAAAAGAATATTCATGTTGACTCAGGACAAAGAATCACAAAATATTTTATGGGGCAACTTGGAGTTGGACTTCCAAGTTGATAATAGCAATAGCACTTATACTTATATACCGCTTCATAGTGTTTTACAGTCCTCTCTAAGCGGTTTACAGAGTCTCCATTTTATTGCTCCCAACCATCTGGCTCCCCATTTTACTGACCTCCGCAGGATGGAAGGCTGAGTCAACCTTGAGCCAGTGAGAATCGAACTGCTGAACTGCTGGCAGTTGGCAGTCAGCAGAAATAGCCTGCAGTACTGCATTCTAACCACTGCACCACTGTGGCTCTGGTGATTTTTCCCGTGAATTTTGTCAAGGCCCTCGTACAAATGGTTAACATAAAATAAGATCCTCCTTGCATACAACATTGAACCAACAATTTAAATCTATCCCTTAAATGACTAGATTTCCACATCCATAAAACTACTGTTTAATAACCATGATTTATTAAATAATCTAGAATTGGCTAAGTTCAGACAGCACACTAATTGCACTGGCCAAGTTCATACAATAAGCTAAATCAAAATGTCTATGGAGATTCTCAATCATCCAGATCATGATTGTCCCAAAGGTGCTTTTTCAAAAGGCTACTGGACTTTGTTTTTCCTTGAAGACTAAGTTGCCTTTTGAAAAAGCACCTTTGGGACTAAATCAAAATGAAAGAAATTGTATTATGAGTTTGTGTATTTGGCCATTATCTAAACTAGTGGTGGCGAACCTATGGCACGCATGCCAGAGGCGGCACTCAGAGCCCTCTCTGTGGGCATGCACACCGTCGCCCCAGCCCTACCACCCCCTGTGGTCCCCTCCTTACCAGTAGCTTCCCTGGAGGAGAGTCGCAGCCGGGCAGCGAGGACAAGACTCTGCCCTCGCGTCCCATCACATGCAGATGATGCTGGGGGGCGCAGACAGAGGGCATGGCCGCCATGATGCTGCTGGGCCGTCTAGGTGATCTGTGGCGGGCCGTGGAGGGAGTGGGTGGCCCTGCGGGCAGGAGAGGCAGGGGTAGGGCAGTTTTGGGGCACTCGGTCTCTAAAACGTTCGCCATCACTGATCTAAACTTTTTTAATGTATCCCTTTCCTATTTCAGGATTCTGGTAAATATGGATGATAACATCATTGAACATTATTCCAATGAAGACACTTTCATCCTAAACATGGAGAACATAATGGAGGGTTTCAAGGTCACGTTGACGGAAATCTAGTCTAGACCAGCACAGACTTTGTGAAGTGAAAACATTTTACCATCAAGGAAGGAAGAAGTAATAATAAAACCCCCGATTTCATTGATACGAAGAAGAAAGATTGTTACAAAACTAAGTTGTAAACAACCATATTTCATTTTTTTGCCACTGGAAACCAATAAGGCAATTACTGACAAGTCTGTTCAAAAGAACATTTCTTCATAAAGTTCCTTATTTATTGCTCCTCACTCTGCAATATGTAAATAATCAGCGGATCCTACACTTCACGATGTTGCGAAGGAGACAGAGACTTTAAATAAAAACAACAAACATAGTTAATACAAGAAAAATAATAAGTTGAAGAATAATAGTTCTACTGGGACTTAATCACTAAAATTTCACCCTCTAAAATGAATTGCTAGAAAATCTGGTGTTAACAATGAGCAAAGTGCCTGGTAATCTTTGCACACCTATTGTATACCAAACTTCTAGTGCTGAGTATCACGTAGTTCAACCATATCCCTCCCTTTGCAAGTCAACTGAGGACTTTTAAGACTCTCAGATGGCATGTACTTTGTAAGTAAAACACCATCCATTTTAACCTCTGTATATATTTGTTTATAATATGTAATAATATATTTTTCCTATCTGTGTAGATGTGTTTACTGCCACTCTATTCTGTGTTTGGATAAGAAGTTGGCAGAGTTCCTGGCCAAAGAGCAAAGTTCTCTCACCAGCTGTTGATTCTTCAGGGTTTTTGATACCTTTTGTTCAAAGCTTATCCAGGAGCCACATTAGAAAGTTAAAACTCCTTATTATCACAACTAAGATTATTCTTTCCTTGCTATACCAGCTGCTCAGGTCTTCCAATGAGATGTTTTCTGTTATTTTTAGACTAGAACTCCTGTTAAGTCAGGCATTTAACCATACTGAGTAGAACTAAAGGCCATTTGGGGTGCACCAGCTTGGGAGAGTCAGACTTATTCAATGATATTGCAGTCTTCCAGTTCCTGAATATTTTTCCTATCTCTTTTTCTCTTTCTTGCTTTCTCTCTCGCTTTGGTTTTTTATCCTTGCTGAATGGACGTTCACTTCTGTAGTGCATCATGCAGAGAGTCATAAATGTGGCATTTCTATGTCATTCCCACCAATGGCTGCCACCAATTTTTACCCAACCTTTTCTAAACAAATGTTATTCTTCCATTCAAGTTACCTCTGAAAGTTCCTGGCAACAAGAAATCAGTGTGAGTTTAGCAAGAAGTTTTATTTTTTGCTTTTATTTTAGGGAAATTGTATGCTTATAAAACAATAGAAGTATAAAACTGGAAAGCAAGTTTGGAATTATGTAGAGTCCAATCCTCTGAATATGCCATACATTGGAGCATGTAAATACAGGTGGTCCTCCCTTAATGACCAGTTGTTTAGTGACTGAAGTTATGATTGACCTTATTAGAGGTCCTGGTTCTGGAGTTCTGCTGCCTGCACATATACACACACACCATAGCCATGTGATCGGATTTTGGGCTGTTTGGAAACCAACCTGCATTTACTGCCATATGCAATGCCCTGTGGGCACATGACTACAATTTTCAGTATTTTTTGTCAGTTTCTGGCATTTACTTTCAGTTTTCAGCAAAAAATGCACATTGAGAAAAATGGGTTCATTTAACAACCACTGCAAAAAAAAAAAACCCTCCTAAAATTGGGCATGGTCCCATGGTGACCAACTTAACAACTACCACAACTCATGGCTGTAATTCTGGGCTCAATTACAGTTGTATGTTGTGGACTACCTGTAAAAGATGTAAATACCCCAAGATATATCTAGCAGAGGAGAACCCATCAACTGTTGCATCAGTCTGTTTCATGTTCACACCATGCTTTCAAAGCATCTCTTAATGTTCAGTTGGTTCTCATACATCCTTCAGGAGTAACAGAGAATACTATGCCCAATAGCTTTTTATATATTTGAAGATAGTTACTTTATAAATGTTTTTCATAACTAAAGGTTGGACTTAGATTTCTAAATATGTTGCACAAGTTCAGATTTTCTTCTTTCTCTTCTTAAAGGTATCAAGCCATACTTATGATTAGGGCCAGGAATGAACTCATTTGGTTTGCATTTTAACCAAACTGAAATTTAACTAATGATTAAAATACACTTTTCTGAAGTTTGTAGTTCATAGATGTGTAAAATGCATTTTTTCATGAAATTGTGAACAAAAATTACAGAGCCGGTTTGATCTAATGGTTAAGGGAAGCAGGCTAGAAACCAAGAGACCATGAATTCTAATCTCTCCTTAGCCATGAAAGCCAGCTGGGTGACTGGGCGAGTCCAACTCACCTCACAGGGTTGTTGTGGGAAAAACAGGAGGAGGGAAGTGGTGGATGTTTGCTGCCTTACTTGTGAAAATAATAAAGGCAGGATACAAACAAACAAATAAATGAAATAAATCTCCATTAGGTTAGGGGACATATTTGTAAAATGCTGCATAATAGATAAAATTGCAAACAAAAGAGGATATGAACATAGAGATCTGTCCCAGAATATATATCAAGTTAGTAGTCCTCAAAAAAAAAAACTTCAGTGCAACAAACCAAACCATATATATTTGCAAAAATTAGCATCTGAAAAGAATTAACCAGTTTCATAAAAATTAAGAGACCGAGAAAAAAATGAAATTGATGTATTTGCTCTTCTCTATTTTTATACACGAGTCTTGGTATAATTTTTAGCATTGCCGTTCATACTGAAATGCAGTTTGTGAACTGCGTATTTATTGAGAATATTTTACAATATACAAAGTGTTGTTTTTCCTTAATGGACCTAATCCTTACAAAATGCATGCCATATAATGAATGCATGGATGCAGAATAGTTTTGGAAAGACTGCAGGTCAGATCCCATCATGTTCGCTATCATTTATTTCCCCTTCCAACTCACTCAACCCATTGCAGAATTTTTGTCAATATATCTCTAAAGAGATTTGTTTTGTATGTAGTTTTTTCATTTTTTATTATTGTTGTAAAACTATTGTTTCTGATGAATCGCTCTAGAATGTAAATATAAAAAATGTACAGAGGAATGCTGTTCTTGATGTGAGTCTGTGCACATACACCGCCTACCATATTTTTTGTTTTCAATATCTAGTTTGATTTTTGTTTTACTTTGTTGTTTTTAATGGCACTTCCATAGATGGAGCTAATGGGAAAGGACAGAGGTTATGCATACCAGAAGGCCATTGTTTTCATCAGCAGAAATTTCAGTGTGATGATTTGACTGCATGCCTACTATGTTCTGGGTTAGTTGGTTGGTCTCCTGGCAACTGCCTGGGCTAGTCCTTGCAATTTTCTTAGCAAGACTTTTGGAAGTGGTTTGCTTCCTTCCTAGAGTTATGAACTTCTAGTATTTGATATATTGTGTCTTGAGCACTATACTAACCTGGATGTTATGATCTGTCCTTTGCCTAAATCACTCCTTATTTTCCAGGCCACGGAATGTGACCTTAAAATTTACTTTTTGGTCATTCAACCCATCCATCCATTCCTTTTGCCATCTGCACAAATGAACAGGTGTAAGAACTTCTCTTTAGCATGCTGTTGGTAATGGGTGACTTGCTAATCAGAGAAAGGCTTTTAAAGGTTTCTTTTATAAATCAGCTTGATACCAATTTAGAAAAGCACTTGATCTTGCAGGCATTTATTTTTCTTGTAGCATCTTGGGTCTTACATCTTTGAGATATAAAATTTCACTGACTCTTTGAGTTTTAAAATGTCACAGAAGAAATGTCAGGCCTGAAATATAATTAACAGCTTCTTTAATTGTAAATTTATTTTCAGTCAGAATCTTGTATTTCCAGGTTCAGTCAATGATTTTTCTTTCCTTTTGCAAGAAATCACACTTGTTCTCCACTTGTATACTTGCATACAATTGGATATCCCTAGAAGTGTAAAACTTTGATGGCTGATGGATTAAAATTGCACAGCCTTTTTATAGCAAACTTGCTTTTAAAATGACATATAGTGGTGAGATTCAAATGTTGCTTTGCTTTGTTTTTGATCATCAAGGGCTGAGGAATCAGCTGTACTTGTTGAACACTACTTGGCACCTGCCAAAGATTGCAGAAGCTTCTGTATGCCTCCAGCACTGCAATTCACTACCGCTTGATAAGTTGGATAAAAAAGCAGATATCAGCCAAAGTAGATAAATTGCAGTTTTACAGGAAATTTGCATGTGATAATTTATACATACAGTAGATACAAATTTAGAAATAATTACTGTAGTTGAAATAAAAATAGAGAACAATGCATGACAGGCATGCTTTAGGTCTTCTTAACTATTCATAGGCAGCTTTCTTACCCAGAAATCAGCCAGAGTGCCTTCAGCAGAGGATGCCTGATTTAGAGGGTTTCTTTCAGATTTTGTTCAGCTCCCCCACCCAACCCCACTTGCAAATAGGTGTTTCATGGAAATAAAAGAGATGTCAAATGAATCTATTTATTACTGATCTTCTAAATGGAGCTGGAAAACGTGTGTTCTGTTGTGCAAGATGGAGAAACCACATATGTTAAACTGGTTCACCCTAAACTAACTTTTCTTAACTAAAGAACCCTGATTCATTGATGTTAATTTTCAGATATTCTTAGCTAGCTTGGCTGTTGATGAGAATTTTTGAGTTTTGATGTCGATTGGTATCAGTATCTACAGTTACAACAGAAGTCGTAATGGGGTTGGCTTTGTCTAAATATCTTGTGCAGATTCAACCATTTTGGTGTAAACCATATTTATGGTGAGGTTGTCCATTCAGAAACCCAGGTCCATCTGGAATTTGGACACAGTTCCTGGTATCTCAGAAGGTTACCAAATTTTAATATATAATATTTATGCAAATGAAACTATGTTTACTCTCTCCTGATTCAATGTGCTGCTTTTTTAGAAGGTCCAACACATCTCTCAACTGCACAGTTTATTGCTAACTGGATCAGACAAAGCCAATTAATAATGGTTTATTCAACACCTTAGCCAATTGCAGGAACCAGATCATCTATTAGGTCAAGGAACAAAGTATCTAAGCAGATTAGGTTATAATGCTGAAAATGAAAAACATTTATCTTCTGAAAGATTTTTTATGACATTGATGATGCATCTGTTAGGGAGTTAGTACAAGGACAATATGTAGCCTTTACAGATTTTGCATTTATGCGTTGAGAATATTTTTGTAAATCTGTACAGCTACAGTCTATATGGACTAGAAGCTACGGGTTTTTTTAATGAAATTTTCAGGAAGTTAAACTTCAAATTTTATAACATATGGAATTGAAAAGAATTGCAGATTATACAGGAATGATATATTCCTTAACCATCAAAAGCTCCTATTATAAGGTGATGCTTTACATATCTCACCACTAGAAAGTTACAGTTAATGTCACCCTTTGATTTGTCTAATTGCTAGGGGAGAAAGGCATGTTATGACTTCTTATCCTAGCAAATTTAATCATTATTATAGTTAAGCCTACCTGTTTTTAACTGATCTTTTACTTTTACATGGGAAAATGGGTATATAGAAGCTTAATTTATTTTTTCTTTTGTTATTGATCTCATTGCCAAATAAAAATGGCTGCGAACAGACACAGAAGCATTGGATTTATGATTTAAAACTTTCTACCTGTTTATTTTCTATGGGTCTAATTTGATATACTTGTTGGAAAGATGCAAAATTCCTCCTGTCATGACAAGGTGATTGCCATCACATTGCAAAAACTATATTGGAACAGACTTGTGAAATTTTTTAAATGGATAATATTTGTTAACTGTTATAACATTGATGGTTTCCTTCTTCTAATTTCAATTCCTTCTGCAAGATACTGACATAGTGCAAACATGAAAGAGTACTTATGCCAAAAACTCTGTGCAGTGCCCTCATTTCTGGAAAGCAAGCTTTGTATATAAACATTGTGTGTCACCTAACAATAGTTTTGTAAATGGGAAAGGGGAATCTATAAACATATAAATAATACACGTTTATATTTTTTGTACATTTTTAAATGGAAAAAAATAAATTTTCATAAAGTATAACAATATTTTGTTGATCTTTTTTTCCACAGATATTAGTCATCCCTGGGTATTTACTTACATTCCCTCAAAAGCACACACTGAATTATATATTAATTACTTGGGCCATATTATGCCTGGATTCACACAGAACAATACACCTAAATCTAATTTAACAATACAGGCAGTCCCCATTTAGTGACCATTCACTGTTACAACTGTAATGAAAAAGTAATATTACAACCAATCCTTGCTTTTACAACCTTTGGAGATCTGTAAAGCAAAGCAAAACTGAAAAAGGATAATAAAATCATGTTTCACTCAGCGACCATTTTAATGAGGATTGCTGCCCCAAATGTGGTCATCAAACGAAGACTACCTGTACACAGTGCTCATCTTTACAAAACATGCTGTGTCTGAATAAATAAACCATATTACGGCTTGATTCACATGAGACAGCAACCTTATTTTAGCCTAGATTGGGACACCAACCTTATTTTAACTTAATCTAGTTTCTTATGTGAACCCAGTCACTGAATGATAAATTAGCCAACCACAGTTTAATCAATACTCAACCCCAAGAGCTTATATTTCATGTAGGCTTCACTGGTACCACATTCCAGTCACGTGTCCTTATTAATAGTGAGATATGATTCAAAAGACATTCATCTGGGGCCACGATGGAATGAACAGCAGGTGGGACTTTAACTATAGTTGCTAGGGGAAATCCTTGATTTTCTCACTGTTTGCTATTTGGCCATACTTTAAATTCACATTCATACTCAAACTCAGAGCTGTAGAATTGCAGAAACCAACTGTCTAGCCAAAATGTGGCAGCCAGCAATTAAGTGAACATGCTTTTGACATGCTCATGGGCAAAGAAAAAACTTGTCTTCTACTGAAAAGCAAGCCCCTGTGCTATCACTTGTCTTTTTCCTCCAACTTTCCTTTTGACAATAATTTTATATCAATTTCTAAAATGATTGTATATTTTTTTCTGTTAAAGTGGTAGGTCTTTCCTACCTCTTAGTGTCAGAAACCATGAATATTGCATTTATCTGAAAGACCACTTCCATTTTGACTTTTCTGACCCCTGCAGACATCCATGGGTTGTATTAGATCAGGAATATTCAGAATACTTTGAAATCATGCGAGGGCCTTCTGAAAATGATTTTGGTTTCTTCAAGAAATATGGAATTGAACTTTCCAGAAAGTGTAACGGCAATGATTAGTTGGAGGGGAACAAGATTTAGGGGTACCATGACAGATAGGATATCTGCATACCTTTCAAAAATATTGGGTTACAGTTATGTATTCATAAAAGAAAAAAATACAATTATAATCAGGTGCAATCAATTATTCCAGTATGAAAAAGTACCATGTCACAAAATGGTATACAATACAGAATTATTTAAAATTCAACATTTAAAAACATTTGTTCAGCAGTAATACAGTAAAAAAATCTTACTTTTCTTCAAACAATATTGTTCATATGTTTGGCACTGTAAAAATGCATGATCACAGGTTCATTGTTCTCTCTCTGATTCTATCTGTCTCTTTTTTTAAAACCAATCAACAGCGTTATTAAGTGTCTGTATATATTATACTACATTGCAATATATATTAAAGAACATGTGGGCTCCATTCCACTGCTAAAACAAATTATAAGGAAAAAAGCCTGTCCCACATCAATAAGATAATATCCAAATTTCCTACCTGGTCAGTATCTGTGCGCTTGAATTACTCTCAATTGACTGTAACATTTTAAATTTTGATTCTGATATCAAATATGAACACTTCAGGGAAAAAAAATTAAAACAGATCTAGGAAACACTGGGTTCAATATAAAAAAAAGTTAAGTATTTTTAAAACCATCTTGCAAGCTGTTGATATTTACTAATTCATCAATGCATGGAATTGAGTTGATAAAAATAATTCAGTATAATAACTTTAATGTGTCCATTTAACATAAAATTATACATTAGCTATTCCCCCCCCCAATGGAACCTCCACATATGTTTTGGATTGCCAGCAGCAAGATGAATAGCGCGCTGGCTGAGAATTCTGTAAGTAGCTTTCCAACATATTTCAAGGGCAGGATGGGAAAAGATAATACAAACCATGTGGATAGGAACTTACAGAAATGACAATTTTTCAGGATCATTTTTTGTATGAAAAGACAGTATGTAAGTAAGTAAGTAAGTAAGTAAAGGAGGAAGGAAGGAAGGAAGGAAGGAAGGAAGGAAGGAAGGAAGGAAGGAAGGAAGGAAGGAAGGAAGGAAGGGAGGAAGGGAGGAAGGAAGACTTCAGGCAGATCATAATAACAAGTTTCAATTTAAACCACCAAATGGACAAACATGGAATGCAAGTTCCCTATACAAGTAAAAACAACTGCATCATTTGTGCATCATTATAGCAATGGGGTTGAGAGGAACAATCAGTTTAATTAACATGCAGGTCTCAATACTTTTAATAAGCCAAACACTAAGGATTCAGATTTAAGTAGCTTTTTTTTCTTACATTTTACACCAACATGGCCACTACCAACACACAGTAAGATCACACAGTCAGTACTGCTTTAAAATTGCAAATCACACTGTTAAGACTTCCACAGAGTTTGCATATCATGTGAATGAGGGATGGGAGAGCTCATCCAAAAGGAAACTAGTCAGTACAATTAAAATAATTTTCTGAACAGTAAATACAGAAATACAGATGCATTTCCCAGTGTAGGAAAAATATATTCCAGCGAAAAGCATAGGAAAGGAAACCATGAATGCCATGCTTTGGAACACAGAAATTATATTATCATTCATCAAATCAGCTCTACTTCTCAAATGAACTGAGTTATGTTCTACAGATATGCTTTAATGTATCATGCTGAACATTTAAAAACAGTATATACTTTTTCATTTGATTCCTGAAAGGAAGTAACACCCACAGAAACCACTTTTATGGATGTATTCCTTAACTTGATCAGAAAGCATGCTACATAATTTGGATATTGATGAGCACAGGGATACATGGTTGATTCACACTACACACACAGAAAAAGGGCTGATTTGTAACACAGCCACAGATCTAAGGTCATCCAGGGCTAGTTAACTGTACTCAAGTCCTTCTGAAATCAGAAAGACTTATGTTGATCATGACCGATGTGTCTCACAGATGTCAATGAAACGCAGTCATGACCAGCTTCCTCTAAAGTAGGATCAACACACTGATCTCTTTACTGCCATGGACATTCTGTAGATAGCAAAGCAGCATTTATTGTGTTTTAAATTTGTTCCTGAATCTTTATTCAGTTCTAACATTGCATGCGTTATCCTAAAATAACTGAGAATAGAATCCAAAATGTGTGATAATACTGGAAATTAAAGCCACACTCCTCCAAGCTTTGTATCAGTGTCTCCAAAAGACTGCAATCAAAATCCCACAAAAGCAAATGCAAATTGATCTGAATTTAATATTTACCTGCAAAGGCCTAAAATAAAGCCACATGTATTAAAAAGAAAACCTGAAATGTATTTCAGGTGTACGCTTGCATATATGCTTGGGTGAAAATATCTCAAAATTTGGCATGAATTGTTTATTCTTGATAAATCAGCTCTTCAACAAGAATAAAAAAAAAATGTCTTTGCACTCCCTCAGGGTTGCCAGCATTGCATCAAGTTGTCAGAGCGTGGATAGCTATGGACTGACAATGCACATCCCTGTTTAAATGGCACTTAAGACTGAGTTATGGGTCAAAGACAACCATCTTGTAATTGGTCTTCAGAAGCAAGAGACGTCCCTCCATCTTCCTTACGACACAGTTGCTGACAGTTGATTTAAGACAAAACAGGTAAGTTAAGAAAAGTCTGCCTCTTATGCTTGATCACAACTTTTTCCCATTCAGAGATGTCCATGTAGTGGATGTAAAGATGGTGGCCACAACTGTGTGATGGAAGACCTGAGCTTTTTTACCCGCACCAGGGGCACACGTTACATGAATCAGGACAAGAATTCCACAACTGTCTCTCCCCCCCAGACATACATGCTTCCACTGTATCTTACTTTTTATTGGAACAATGCAAATCTGAGCACATAAAATGAACGCAAGTGCTGGTCAACTGTATCCAGGGAACATAGGAAAGGTAAGCTATTTTTTTCTTTTTCTGCAAACTCTGTGAGCTGGGGATTCTGGGTAATGTGGAGAGAACTGCAGGGTAGAAGAAAACATTACTGCTGGAAATTTCCTATTCTTCCTCAGGGAAGGGAGGGAGTATTCTCCTAGATTCCTAATTATTTTCCATAAACAAAGAGAATCTAAGACAACTCACTGCAGCCAACTTGCCCTGGCCAACTCACCACAACCACCTCGTCGCAGGACAACTCGCCATGGGACAATTTGCCATGGAAAAAGAGTTACACTAATATCAAAGAAATGATGGAGTATAATCCTTAAAGAAAGGATGCCAAAGGAGGGACAAAAGTGAAACGTGAATGACAAAAATTAAAATATTTTTTTAATTATTTTAAATAATTAAATTGAATTGCTGAGTTGTTCCACAGCAAATTGTCTCACAGCAAGTTGATCATGGCGAGTTGTCCTGTGGAAAATTGGTTGTGATGAGTTGGCTGCAGCAGGTTAGCTGTGGTGAATTGGCCACGCGTGTTGGCTGCAAGTGGTCCCATTCTGAACAAAGGAACCCTCCTATTTCCAGAACACCAATCTGGAAGGAGCAAGGAAATGTTAATATACTAGTTAAAATCTAACCTTACTTCTCTTCCTTGCAGCTGTTCTCAGGACTTTTGAATTAGTATCCAAATGGTTTCTGCTTCCAACCATTAATATAAAAATGTATTTTGTTCTTCATATTTTAAATAAGCAAAAAGGAAACCACACACTAAGTCCCTAAATCAGGAAACAAGGCTCTGGGCCAAAATATTTGCCAAGCATCCAAGCTGAACACAGCTGCTTAAACAAAAGGCAATGTTTAAAAAAAGAGAGAGAGAAAAAAAAACAAGACACATCTGGATGCTTGTTAGAAAGAACGAATTGTGGTCATACTCTTGCATGACCTCAATTAGGCTTTTGGTAGATTTATTTTTTTATTTTGAAATCAACTGTTGAAACAAATGATTTAAAATACTCTTACGCAATCTTATGAACACCCGTTACTTCATAAAGCAAACTATTTTAGAAATTTAGTCAGAAATGCTTTAAATTTACAATGATGGGCTTCTGAAACTCATCATTAAAGAATGGCTAAGTTCCATCCTAACTTTTAATACAGTGGAACTACTATATTAAATACTGTAATCAGGTGGATTGGTGAAAATGCAAACCATTTACTGTCTGTTTTATATACAGTTTTACCTTGCCAACATTATGTCCACTATTTCAATAAAAATATCAAGCATAAATTTGTTAGGTGCCCAGTACTCTTAAAAATCAAAAATGTTGCTGGGCTCTGGCTTTTTATTTTTAGAAGAAAAATAACACACTGCCTCGTATCAGTACAAAGCATTTTGCAGAGTGTAATTCTTCATTGCAACACTTGGGCATGGAACAAACAAATTGATGCTCAGCTCTGTAAATTCACAACTTAGAGATCATATATATTTTCCCTGTCCCCTCCCTCATTTTTTATTGTAAATCCAATTTTAGTAGTCACAAAATAAAATTCAGAAGCATGATTCTTCAACTCTTTAGGGATAAACTTTACATATCTCTTCATGAACCCTTCAAAAACCTCCTAAAAGACAAAAATTCTAACAAGTTTCAGCTCTGACTCTTCCAAGGTCATGATTGCTACATCTCTTATGGTTTTTAGAGGCCAAAAAGAAGCAATTAAAAAAAAAAAACAAGGACTCAAATCTAACCTTCAGCCAACCCTGAGTTAAATGCTCAGGAGAGGATTTATCCAACTTTCTTTTTGGGTGGAATTTATAAAATAATGAAGTAAAACCTAAATAAATATTTAAAAAGGAATCCTTCTTACCATAAATAGTGCTACTTATCTCACAATCAACACCTTGGTTGATTTTTTTTCCACAAGCAGTTTCCTTATTGAAACAAATTTAACAATTTAGGTAGAAAGGACCTATTGTTATTTACAAACACTGCCTCCATTCCCACTTAACTATGCCAATAAGGTATTCCCTTTCATCTACGATTCTTCTCTTACATGTCAAGCAACCCTGGTGCATTTCAAGATACAAACAGCCCCCTTAACCAGCTTATTCCCTAGTTCTGAACTGAAGCTGCTGTCTAACAAATCATGAAACCAGACAGTTGCTTTGGGAAGAGTTCCAAAATGTTTATAAACTCCATTGTGTCCATCCATTTATCTTCCACATAGCTAAAGTTTTTTTAGAAGGGATTTCAAGGAGCTGGAGGGAAAGGTAACTATATAATAAAACAGTTACCTTTGGACAAAAATCACGAAACATTAAAAAAAAATCCATTATGTGTATGTGTGTGTGTGCGTGCAGGTGTGTATCTGTGTGTGTGTGTGCGCACGCATGCGCATATGGATATATGTATAAATACATTGCAAATAGTATCCTGTATTTTAATTAAGACCTACATGGGTCCTATATTTTACGTCTTTGGAAGTGCAGCTCAGATCTGCCCTTTTGCAAAAGTGCCATCACATAGTGAGCATGATGAATTTGGAAGAAATACTGGCTGTTTACAAGTTACTTCTGGGGTATGAAAATTATTGAGGTGGGGAATCTACTTTGAGAGAATTCCCCCCCCCCACCCCTCCAGAAATGCAGTCCTGTCAATCTCCTCCTTTGGTGCCAAGTGCTTAAATCATGTAATTTCCTCAGACCCTTTCCATTTGAATTGGGGCAAAACTACATGTTACAAAGCAAATGCTAGTATTTTGTAAGAAATGGGATCGCAGTGCAACAACGTTAGCCCCTTCCAATTCTCCATTGCAATATGTATCTTTTCATGCCAGTGAGACTCCCAAAATCATTGATGATGGAGGAAATTGCCTTGGCAAGATAATCTGAAGAGAAACCCTGGCTGGTGCATAAATGGTTAAAGATATGGATGTCTTCCCTGCCAGCTGATTCTCCTTTTTGCATGTACTTCCAGATCTCCAATTCTTCCCTGGAACAATGCCCCATTTCCCATTTCTATTGTTTTTCTAAAAGCCAAGCTTCAAGAGTGAAGCTGAAGAGGGAAATGGCTTTGGTGTGGCAGTAGAAGAGGAAAAAGATTATGTATAACCCTGTCTTTCCTGCCTGCTGATTCCTACTCTACAAATCTGTCTTAGTAAAGTTACATGCTTAGAAAATATGTTTTCAATTATATTGGAACTACTGATTCTCCTCAACTAAGTACAAACAAAATAAGGCTTTGTAATAGGCAAGTACAATATTCTAATGTTTGTCATCAAATCCTGTCATTTCCCGGAGGCCTTCCAGATTAAAAAAAAAAAAATGTCTTCATTCTCCCTTACCATGGCATGCATTACTCCCAATATTTAGCTCAATTTTTCTTCAGCTCAGTTCTCAATTTGCACAATTACTCTTCCTGATTCAAGATGCTAAATGATCATCAAGATAATGATAAATAAAATTCTCCTCTACCCTTTCTCCAAATGAATCTCTGTTAAGGATAAGAAATTTCATTTGTAGAATCTGTTTTTTTAAAAATAGCGGAAATATTTATATGATTTGTACAAACCCAACATTTTCTATAATTTTACAAACTCTATAGCATCTCTGAAGGATACAGCACAAGCTAGTGTTAATTATTCCTTATCGTTAATTCTATTATAGCTCACAGCTTTGCAGACAAAACATTAATTATGTGTTATTTAAATTTAGCTCCATGGTGCCATTGGTCCCTTTGTGGTAACATTCAGACTAGAGGATTGAACCCACCATCATTTAGAAAAGGAATTTCATACCTCATATACTGATCACTAAGGATTTCTTAAAATGAATGCATATATTTAATTTACCATCTTGGCTTCTGTATTGGAAAAAAAGATTTGCATTGATTTCTTCAGTACCAGTAGTAGTCCTTCTGTTGCTGTTATGGTCCATTGAAATAACCTTGATTCCTGATGACTGCAGAGATAAGTCTTGGCAACATTTTTGGAAATAGCCTGCCAATGCTTTCTAAGTGTGAGAGAGACTGGTCCAGAGTCAGCCAGCTGGCTTCCATGTCTAAGGCAAAACTAGAACTCAAATTATCTCAGCTTCTAAACTAGCACCTTAGCCAGTAGACCAAACTGGCTCTTCATGTACTTCTCGCAGCTACGAATTTAACCCTAAGTCATAGCATAAGGTAGTTTTTGAATACCTTTAAGGAAAATGTGTAGTGAATAACAACAACCTACTGTATGTCTAACTTGTATTAGACATAGTAATAGAAATTTGTATATAAGGAGTCTTAATCCTAGATCTCATATAAACATTCTCCCTGGCAAATGCATTAAGCTCCCCAAGATCACTGGCCTCTTTATTCACTAGAATGATATAAAAAAAATCTTGTTTGGCATTCCCCAATATTGGAAGGTACATGGTAGCTATTGGGGCCAAGACATTCATTAAATGGAATGTAACAGACACGGAACAGCATTTGGCTCTAGCCAAGTCCCCAATTTTACTGCCAGTGAATCCAACAGGTACTCCCATGTGCTTCTAGACATGCACTTGTCCACTGCCTCTTTTGCAGAGACATTCATATTAGCCTTATCTCTCCACTACTGCATATATACCCAGAGTGCACAGGACAAATCTATCCCTAACCTTGCTATCACATAGAATATTGCCAGGTTCTGTGCAGCAGTGCTAAATGTTCATCAGATGTTCCATAAACTAATAATAATGAGCATTTAGCTCGTCATACAAGAACGCTCTGTACTGTGATAGATTTAGTTTGCCACATGCGAATCTTCATGCTCCCCTACACCCATCTGATACTTCTACCCCTCCTGTTAGATTTCTTTTAAACTTCTGTTTTTATATATACTTTGTTTTATACCTTTTGGGGTTTTTTTTATAATCACTTGATATATTTTCTATGCTTTTTAATTGACTGTACCCCATCCTCCTTATGCTGGTCTTTGACCATAATAAAGATTTGATTGATTGATGGTAGTTATTGGCTGACTTCAGTCTTCTCCACATGTGCCTCAGATCCTACAAAGTTTTGGAACCAGCTTAGAATTGGCAAACTAGACACAACTTAAGGCATAACCCAATTAGGAAATAAGTCCTATTCATATTCAGTAATACACAGGCCACAGATAATTACAATTTGAAAAAGGACACAGTTGTGACAATTGCACTCTCTGTAATCCAGAATGCATTTTAGAGAGAGTGTAAGCACAACTTCTTCATGGCTGTCCATGAGGAAAGCAGACAATGCCACAAAAGAAGGTAAAGGTAACCTTAAAAAGGCAACATCACCCATGAATGTTGTTCTGGAAAGAGATATATGAGACAAAAGAAACAAACCAGAAAGACACAAAGTAATACAATCATCAGTTTTAAAACTGTCCAGCACTGCTGGGGTCACATTGAAGGAGACGGACAATAGATGGGTCACTTTTGGCTCCTCGAATGAACTCTTCCAGAGAAAGTTTTCCTAGAAAATAAACAGAGATGCTGGTTTGGATTTTCAAAATAGATATGAATCATCACTATCTATTATTAGGTTCACACAGTATGCTAGGCCATAAGTTATGGTTAAAAAATACAGTGGTACCTTGGTATTCAACTGCTTTGAAACTCATCAAATTTGGTACCCAGTGCATTTTGACATGAAAATTTTCTCCTGGTACTCATTGTTTGTTTGGTACTCACTGTAAAAGCTAGAACTTGTCAATGTCAGCTGTCTTGTGACTCACTACATTATACCTTATGGAAAAACCCTTACATTTGGTATTCATCGTTTCTCCCAGAACCAATTAACAATGAGTTTCGAGGTACCACTGTACTTTGTTCTCCCAACATGCCAATTCAAAACAAAATATATTATAATTTAACATGGCAGTCCAATTCATGCAACATATTGAGTCATAATTTATTTGAGGTTTGGGTTTAATCCCTGTGATTTGTAAACTACATTTTACGGTTTAATATGTAATGCAAATTCAGCCAGCATATACAAGCATGTATAATTCTATCACTCCTTTCCTTAAAAATAACATCTTTATCATATGATTAGATGATTAGGGGACTGGAGGCTAAAACATATAAGGAACGGTTGCTAGAATTGGGTATGTCTAGTTTAACGAAGAGAAGGACAAGGGGGGACATGATAGCTGTGTTCCAATATCTCAGGGGCTGCCACAAAGAAGAGGGACTCAAGCTATTTTCTTTCTTTCTTTCTTTTTTATTAAAAGTTTTTGAAGTTTTACAGAAGAAAAAAGGAAAATCCCCCTCCCCAAACCCTCCCCACCCACCCCAACCCTCCCCCAACCTTCCCAGAACTGAATATAGGCTTAATTAAAACTTTAAAAAAAAATTAAACACATGTAAACCATAAGCAATTAATTACAATAATTAAACAAATTATAAAATACTTTAAGACCAATATATATATATATAAAAAATTTATATCTAGAAATACACTACTTATCTAGAATTTTCATTCAATCTCCATAATATCATACTTATATTATATAAAATCTATCCCTCTTTCTTTGTCATCAAATCACAATCATTAGACACATTATAAAATACTCTAAACATTTTCTAATATAATACTTATATTATTTAAAATTTATCCATCATTCTTTATAAACACCCTCAAAAACACACATATAAACATTACTTATTAAAAAAAATTTATAATTACAATCATTAGACACATTATAAAATACTCTGAACATTTTCTAATGTCATACTTATATTATTTAAAATTCATCCATCATTCTTTATAAACACCCTCAAAAACACACATATAAACATTACTTATAACATTAAAATTCCCTTATACATATTTAAAACAAAATATTCCTTTAAATACTCCTTAGATATCTAAACATACGCTACCTATCTAGAATTTTCATTCAATCTCCATAATATCATATTTATATTATATAAAATCTAATCTCTCCCTCTTTCTTTATCATCAAACACAAAAATAAACATATAAGGGTTAGTTATACCATTAGAACATCTCTCCTCTTTACCAATAACCAATTCCTTTTATCAATCTCTCTTATCCAAAAGCCTCGAGAGAATTGCTTGGAAATCTGCCCTTAAAGGTTGCTCCAAAAAGTTTATGGATCTTGCTTCTCCCGCAGACTCAGAAACAAATACTTGTGAGGCTTCCTTGAACTCCTTCTTCTGTTGCTCCTTTTCTTTACGTTTATGCGTTGCACGAGTTATCCTCTGCTCCTTCATCTCAACTTGTTGAGGCCCCTCGCCCTGAGATTTTCCAATTTTCATCAATATAGGCTCTTCAGACTGCAATGCTACCTTCCTCTCTTCCAAAGCGATAGATGGCAATGAACATATCCCCAGGACTGAAGTATAAAACTCTTTTGCTTTGAAGACAGTGTTAAGTCTATAACGTGTCCCCAGATAGTTCACCACCATTCCAGTTGGGACATCCCATCTAAACAACATTTGCCTCTTTTTAAGCTCATCTGCTAAGAAAGCAAACTCCTTTCTTCTTCTTAGAATTTTAGATGGGATCTCCTTTAAAATTATAACATCTTGTGAAGCAATCTGGAACCTCTTATTATAAAAAGCTTGTATAATTTAATTGCGCAGGGATCTTTTCCCAAAATAGATCACCACATCTCTTGGCAGATTTCTTTGCTTTGCCACCACAGAGTTAACTCTAAATGTTTTTTCAATTGCACTAAATATTTCCTCTTTTTCTCTATTCAGAATCACAGCAAAGTCATTTGCAACCATCTCTCTCAGATCTCCTTGCAAAGACTCCCTCAGGCCTCTGATTCTTAAGGCATATTCCATCTCTCTGTATTGAAGCATAAGAATCTCATCTTGAGAATTTTCCATCTCTTTTTCCATACCTTCAAATTTTCCCTCCAGCAGCTCCACTTCCTCTACTACCTCTTCTACACAAAAGTTCAACTTTTCAAGAACAGAGGCAACTCCTTTGAAAGCCAAGACTATATCTTGCCTCAGAATCCTATTATTTTCCACTAAAATCTCTTTCACTTCTCCCCTGATTTGAGATATAGCATTTCCCATTATGTCTTGCAACTCCTTTACCATTAATAACTGTGCCAAAGGAGAGTTTAGTTTAGATTGTTGCACTGATGATGTCACCGAAGAAGAAACCACCTTAGGAGCTGTGGGAATTACTGGACGCTTTCTTAAAATATCTTTACTCCTTCTTAAAAATTACCCATAAAGAAAAAAAAAGGGGAGGAAAAAATAAAAATCAGCCTTTCAAACTAGTCCAAATAAAAGTCCAAACTAAAGTCCAAATAAAATTCAATAAGAAGGAAAAGAAAAGAGGGAAAAAAATAATAATAATTAAATAAAAAAAAGTCCGTTCCGTTTTTTTTTTTTTAAAGTACAAAAAAAAATGAAAAATCCTTCAGGAAATAAAAAAAGTTAAACAGAAAGGGAAAGTAATTCTCCTAAAATCCAAACCCAACATCATTATAAATAATCAAATCCATTCCATTCCGTTCCAGTCGAAAAAAGAAAAAAAACACCAAAAATCCTACCGATCGCCATTTTACTTTCCCTTTCAACAAAAGAAAAAAACAAAAAGAGGGAATAAAAATAAGTCTTTAAATTTAAAATCCAAATAAGATAAAAAAAAACAAAATCCTGTACTCAGCTCTGTCCGCTTTTTTAAGAAAACTCACCAGATCACTTCAATCGCGGAGGTGGTTGCAGCGGCTTGTTTTGTCCCTAGAGACAAAAACAGTTGGGAAGCGGAGACTATCCGAACTCCGTGGGAGCACTCTTTTCACCCCCAAAAGAAAACCTTGGGGGTACATAAGAGGCTCTACCACTATTTGGATGATGCTCTTCTCCCTCCCTTTGCCCGGGAGGGAGATTTTGAACCGCAGAACAGCTGATGTCTGCTGTTCATAGCGGTTCTAACACTTTCCCAGGAGGACGGCTACAAAGTAGCCGCCATCGCGCGCGCAGATCCACCGGAAGCCGGACTCAAGCTATTTTCCAAAGCGCCTGAAGGCAGGACAAGAAGCAACGGGTGGAAACTAATCAAGGAGAGAAGCAACCTAGAACTAAGGAGAAACTTCCTGACAGTGAGAACAATTAATCAGTGGAACAGCCTGCCTCCAGAAGCAGTAAATGCTTCAACACTGGAAGTTTTTAAGAAGAGACTGGACAGCCATTTGTCCGAAATGGTGTAGGGTTTCCTGCCTGAGCAGAGGGTTGGACTAGATGACCTCCAAGGTCCCTTCCAACTTTACTACTACTATTATTATATGATTGCCTCTATATATGAAATTTCTGCAGTGTTGAATCTGTTACTGAATTTGTAAAGGAGGCAACCACAACTTCTACCGTACAACCCATTTTCCCATCTGATCTTTTGAATCATACCTCTTATCCACCATTGTTTAGCATATTAATACTATACTCCCTTTCCAGGTGAGGACAAGGGAACCTTTTGGTATAAATGGTCAAGAGAAGCTAATATTCAATAGCAAATTTAAATATGAAACTCTGCCTTACATCAGTTCGGATATTGTTGACACAGCTTATTATTGTGCACCGTAAGCTTCTCCGAACTACAGACTTCTCAAAGTACTAGACTACAACCCCAGAACATCCAGAAGGTCATATTGGGAAAGCTTGGTCTGTTCAGATTGGCGCTGGTTCTCCTGAATCTTACCCATTTGCTCTTAAATTACAGATGCCGAAGACTGAATCTGAGACTCCTTCTTTGTGGAAAATGATCTTTATTACTGAGAAATGGTTCCTACTTAAAGTGTCCTAGTCTACATGATCGTAAAATCATCCCCATTACTCAAAAACTGAGAAATATCAACTTTGATGGCAGTAATTAGTTATGGAGTACTTGGCATTTGCAAAAACGGAATTGTTCAGGTATGGCTTAGGTAAAGAAAACCCCTCCATAGTTCATACAAGTAGTAAAGCCTTCTCAAAATTGATCTGTTACCGGTACTTTGGAAGTGAAAAATTACCTACACTTCAAGAGAAGAATAAAGTTTTGAGTCAATCAAGAGACTGAGGTAACAGAGCACAATGATGCCAAGAGGGAGAATGGAAGACACATCTATAGTTTTTATAACAGCATTAAAAAATATCTTTCCAATTGGATTGTAATGCTATCAATTTTTAAACGATTTCCATACAACCATAAAAAAAGATCTGACTTCTTTCTTACTCCTAGATTTGGAAGTAGAAGCCATGTTTAAAGGAATTGAGGAATGGATTTTAGTTGTAATGCTTCAAGGATTTGTCTTGCTGTGCCATTATAACTGGGTCTGTGAAGGGGTATGGGTGGGTTAGGGATAGATAGATAGATAGATAGATAGATAGATAGATAGATAGATAGATAGATAGATAGATAGATAGATAGATAGATAGATAGATACACGTTTACCAGAAAATAAGACCCGGTCTTTTTTTTTTTTTGCCTCCAAAAGAGGCACCAGTTCTTATTTTTGGAGGGTGTCTTTTCAACGTTCTCACTTCATGGCGGCAGCAGACCAACAGCCCTGCCCAGCTCCAGATTGATGCGTGTGGTGCCCCCCAGCCCGCATTTCGCCATCTGGAAGGCCTCTGCAGCCGAAAACCAACCTACAGATTCAATCCATAGCTCGATTCTTGGCTGCACAGGACTTTCCGGAAGGCATCTGATGGCGAAATGCATGTGTGGGGGGGTGCCATGGCCTCTATCTGGAGTTCCATTCTCAGCTGCAGAGGGCGACGCGTGCGAGCAGTGGCGAGTGGCCAGAAGAAGTGGGCCAACGAGGCAAGGCAGGTGTCAATTCATGGAAGGCCTGGCTGCAACAGTAGAAGTGTGCAGGGCGCGTGAGGCAGCTCCACCCCCCACCCCAGCTTGATTTTTAGGTGTGCGCCTTGCCCCCAAAACTAGGGGTTATTTTGGGGGTAGGGCTTATATTAGGCCCACCCCCAAAAATCAAGCTAGGGCTTATTTTCATGGTAGGTCTTACTTTTGAGAAAACAGTACTGGCTTAAATCTAAATCCTAATATTTATATGAGTAATGGGTTGAGCTGCAAGACAGCAACCTAACAAGAAGCAGTATTTGGCTTGCCAAAACTTTTTCACAATAACACAAACCGTCATTCTTTCAAAGCGGTTTATTGCTGGATCTATGAATCAGTGGCATAGTCCTACTTATTCAAGTCTGCTCTTCAAAAGACACTGAGAGATCAGAAACAACAGAAGTTAAAAGGAAGATAATTGAAAGATAATTTACCATCTCTGTTGGTATCCATCTGGCGGAAGATTTTTTCAGTTCTTTTCTCTGGCGTTGATTCATCTTCTGGCATCTTCATAACTGAAGAAACCATCTTGTAGATTGCCTAAAAATGGAATATGAAAAGGAACAGTCTAGAGTTGCATAATTTCAGAAACTTCTATGGGAATTCTGTACATTGGCAAACCTATCCCAGATAGCTTTCAGGAGTTTAGGTAACTAAAGCTTCCTGTTCTATCCTGGACTTTACAAATACAGTATACTACACAATTCTCATTATATGCTGAATGCAAATAATTATTTACAGCATTAATTATTGAACAGTGGGAGTAAAAGTTAATGACCAATCCAATATGTAATCTAATAGTATATTTCTTACAAAGAATGGTATTGTGTTTATTTACTGTAAAGATTCAGTATATTCTATATTTAAAATAAAGGAAATCAATAAAGTATCCTTTAAAACAGTGGTTCTCAACCTGTGGGTCGGGACCCCATTTGGGGTTGAACGACCATTTCACGGGGGTCGCCAAACAATGCAGTCCGCCATTTTTCCCCTCTTTTCCTTAGCTGTGCTACTCCCTTTTATTCTATTGGCTTTTGAAAGCCAATAGAATAGACTCTCTTGAATAGAGTCTAATTCTATTGGCTTTCAAAAGCCAATAGGAATTGTCCAGGCTGTCTCTGCCCTGCTGAGCCTACCAAAAGTCCCATTCTGCAAACGGTACTGCACCAGTTGAGTAGTCCTCGACTTACGACCGGTTGAGTAGTCCTCGACTTACGACTGATTGGGGGGTCATGGCATTAAAAAGGTTGAGAACCACTGCTTTAAAAGATTACTGTACAACTGTAAAACACTAACAGAAGAAAAATCTTATCTGAAAAAAATTAGAATGACGATTATTTTGTTTAAAAGGAGTAATGCCATACCATTTCTGGAAAGTAAACCCTTCTCAAAGTAGCAGATTTATGTGATGCAGGTATACATAAAGTTGGATTGCAAGTATAATGAACATGTCCTCCTGGGCATCCCTTAAGAAAATCCTATTCCCTCCCGTGAAGGAACAAGTCCACTTAAATATGTTCTGAAATGAAAGGATACTGACATGTGGTTGAATCTTAGAAATATATATGAGACTCTTAACCATGAAATCCTAGATATCTCCTTTCAAAATTAGTCTTGGTAATTATAGTTATTCTCAATTAACTCAGTACAGGACTACAACCCTATCTTACAATAATATATGTATACTTTATGATTCAAGTATATTACTTTCAGTTAAGTAGACATCCTAGTATACCAGTATACCAGTATACAGCTCCAGTATACAGCTATACTGGAGAGCTTTGCATTTAGAAAAAAATACTGGTATATTAGTTTCTCCTATATTGGACATCTAAACAAATGTTTGTTTATTTATCAGTTTTTATTTCTAAATTCAACTGCTACTCAGTGATGTCAAATTAATAATAAAGTATAAATGCAAAGTAGTAAATATCATTTTAAATGTCATACATAATTGAACAGGTCTGCAAAAATCTGTATGACCACTTATTGATGGCGGGAAAGTGACACAGAAAATGTTTTGCCCTCTAGCAGTCATACAGTTTTTTGCAGCAAGCACTTATGGTGACCCTAAATGAGTCACTAGGAAAAACTGAACAGAAAGAAACAGCATCAGGAAAGAGACTGCCTTACAAGTCACAGGAAAAATGCTAATACAGCTTTTCCTCAGGTTGGGGAAAACTTAGTTATAAGAGAATAGCCTTGTTATTCTGTTACTATATGCAAAAATAGCCTTTAATACTTTTCTGGAAATAAGCAAATTTTTCCCCGCTGCAATTTCTACCATATGTCCCACAATCTATCTAAGTTCATCTATATTCAAATACAGAAGAAATCCAGATTGTTTCCTGGTAGATTGGTCCAAATTGTCTCTTCCCTTCCCTTCTTTCACCTTGCCATTACTGTGGGCAATTCCAACCAACACTGTGATAATGACACAAACTGCCAAAAATAATAAAGCTTGGGAACTCTAATATGAAAACAAATCAGCAGGTAACAAAGACAATCAAACAACAGTCCTTCATTAAAAATATTAAGGTGACCAACTGTCCTCCTTTAGGGAGGACAGTCCTCCTTTTGTAAGTTCTGTCCTCCCTCAAAAAGTGTCCTCCTTCATGTCCTCCTTTTCGATATTTGAAGACTAATCTGCAGGGCTTTTTTTTTTTTCCTCCCAGAAAGCTCAGAACGGCATTCCGGCACCTTTTTTTGATGGTTTTTTCCCCCAACTTTTGCATGAGTTGTGCTACTCCCGCTATTGGCTTTCGAAAGCCAATAGGAGTTGCTGCTGAGCGCGCCAAAACACCCGGCTGGCAAACTTTGCACATACAAGTTTGCACATACATAATACATGTCTGTATTAGTGTTGCAATGAATAAAAGGGGCGTTGTCTTACCTGAACGCCTTTTCTCAGCAGGATGATGTAGAGTCCAAATGGATGGGTTCTATGACGGCCTTCCTGCCTGGCAGACTGGGTAAAAACTTCGGCCACACCCCTTCCTTTGGGCGTGACCCCAGTTTTGACTTAGGCGAGAAACTTTGTTGGAATTAACATTGCAGCTCTTTATTATATCTTTATTATATCCCTGCCTAGACCTATCCTCTGGGTGGGCTTGGACTCTACATCATCCTGCTGAGAAAAGGCGTTCAGGTAAGACAACGCCCCTTCTCCAGCAGGATGACTGTAGAGTCCAAATGGATGGGACATACCAAAGCCCTCATGTCCCCCTGGGAGGGAATGTCTAGGCTACCGAACTCTGAGCAGATACGACCTGTTGAAGAACTCTTCTGCCAAAGGCCGCGTCTGCTGCTGCTAGGGAGTCTAAACGGTAATGTCGAATGAAAACCGAAGGTGAGGACCAGGTTGCGGCCCTGCAAATCTCTTCCACTGGAGCTTGCGTTAGCCACGCCGCAGATGTGGCTGCGCTCCGAGTTGAGTGGGCAGTCACCTGAGTGGGTGCTGGCAAATCCTGTGAGACGTAGGTCTGCGCTATGCAGGCTCTGATCCACCTGCCTATGGTGGAAGAAGATACCTTCTTTCCCATAGTTGATGGTTGAAAGGACACAAATAATGCTTCAGTCTTTCGGAAAGCCGAGGTGCGTTTCACGTAGAAACACAGTGCTCTCCGTACGTCTAGCTTGTGCCATCTGTGTTCTAGCCTATGTTTGGGTCTTGGACAGAAATCAGGAAGCGTAAGTTCCTGAGATCTGTGAAAGATGCTATTTACCTTCGGGATGAAGGTCGGGTCTGGTCTAAGAACGACCCTGTCTTTGAAAAAGGTACACAGATCCTTCCTTACTGACAGTGCTGCTAGTTCTGAGATTCTCCTTGCTGAAGTAATTGCCACAAGGAAAGCTACCTTCAGTGATAGGTGATGGAGTGAGCATGTTTCAAGAGGTTCGAAGGGTGCTGATGTCAAGGCTAGAAGGACCTTAGGCAGGTTCCAGGACGGGTACCTGTGTATGACTGGGGGCTTTGTGTTAGATGCCCCTTTTAAAAAGGCATTAATCGCTGGATGTTGTGCTAGGGAAGTTAAGTTGTCGCAGGAGAGTACAGTTGAGAGGGCTGATATCTGTCTGCGGATAGTATTGACTGACAGGCCCTTATTAAGACCCTCCAATAGGTAATCTAGGATATTGGGGATAGATACTGCGGTCGGGTCTAGGTGAAGCGAAGCGCACCACCTACAAAATCCCTTCCATGTAGCGTCGTAAATCCTATTAGTGGACGCTCTTCGTGATGCCTGTATGATCGATATCACCCCTGCAGAATAAGATTGTTTAGTTAAGCTTTGCCGCTCAAATGCCAAGCGGCTAGTTGTAGCCACTGGGGGTCTGGGTGTACGAGCTTGCCCTGACTGAGTTTTACCCTGTCCGGGGGAATCCTCCACGGAGGTGATATCGAAAGGTCCACGAGGTCGGCAAACCACGGGCGCCGTGGCCAGTGAGGGGCAATGCAGACCATTTCTGCGCCCTCCACGATCATCTTGCGTATGGTTGCCGGTATTAGTGGCAGCGGTGGGAAGGCGTACAGGAGTTGCGCCGGCCACCGGCACCTGAGAGCATCCGTTCCCTCCGATCCCGGGGACGGGAATCTGGAGAAGAACCTGGGGAGTTGTGTGTTCTTGTGGTTGGCAAATAGATCTAGGTGCGGTTGTCCGAACCTCCGGGAGATCTCCTCGAAGAGAGCCGGGTCCAGACGCCATTCCGACTGGTCCACCTTGGCTCTGCTCAGGGAGTCTGCCTGGGTGTTTGTCTCCCCTGAGATGTGTTCCGCTCTGATGGAACTCACATTGGCTTCTGCCCACCGAGCCAGAGCCAATGCTTCTTTCATTAGTTCCACTGATCTCGTTCCTCCCTCCTTGTTTACATGTGCCTTGGCTGCTACGTTGTCTGTTAGTACGAGGACGTGCCTCCTCGTTACTAGGTGTGAGAAATGGCGGAGGGCCAGGTGTATGGCCCGGAGCTCTAGCCAGTTGATGCTGTATGACAGGTCCTTCTGTCCCCACTGGCCCTGTGCTATCTGTGTTCCCAGGTGGGCTCCCCATCCGAACAGGCTCGCGTCTGTCGTGAGTGTGACCCTGTTCGGTTCCCTGAATATGCTCCCCTTGAGTGTCGTGGGGGATAGCCACCATTTTAGTGATTTCATCACCTGTGTGGTACCAGCACACTCCTGTTGGAGGTGCTGAGGTTCCTCCTCTGGTAGGGTAGGAGGAACCACTGCAACTCCCTCGAGTGTAGCCTTGCCCATGGGATGATGCCCATGCAAGATATCATCTTCCCCAGGAGCTTCGAGAGTTGTAGCAAGGGCACTCTCCTGATCCTTTGAATTTGGTGGATTAGCTTGGATATGCTGATCAGTCGCTCCTGGGAAAGGAATACCCTGCACTGTGACGTGTCTATCACCGCGCCCAGGTGTTGCAGTCTCCTTGAGGGAATGAGGTGGCTCTTGTTTAGATTGACCGAGAATCCGTGCCCCTGTAGGGTTCGGATTGTGGTCTTGAGATCTGCCCTTGCTTGTTCCCGAGATCTGGACTGGATCAAGATGTCGTCCAGATAAAACTGGACGCGAACCGGGATCAACCTGAGATGGGCCGCTAGTACAGCTAAGATCTTTGTGAATACCCTTGGTGCTGACGACAGTCCGAAGGGTAATGCCCTGTATTGGTAATGTCGCCCCGCGTAGGTAAATCTGAGGAATTTCCGGTAGCTGGGGTGGATGGGGATGTGTAGGTACGCCTCTGTGAGATCTATTGAGGATAGTAGATCGTCTTCCCTGACGCTGGCTAGTATGGACTTTAGGGAGTGCATCTTGAACCTCCTGTACTTTATGAAATAGTTCAGGCCTTTCAGGTCCAAGATTGCTCTCCACCCTCCTGATGTCTTTGGGATAACGAAGAGGATAGAATAAAATCCTCTTCCTTCCTCTTCCTTTGGTACCTTCTCTATGGCTTGAATTGACAGGAGGTGAGCTATGGCCGAAGTTATCAGCCTTGTCTTGTGTACTCTTCTGGAGATGGGACATCTGATGAACCGGTTTGGAGGGGGAGAACAGAAGTCTAAGGTCAGGCCATGCCTGATCGTTTCCAGGACCCAGGCGTCGGTAGTGGTCTGTTCCCAGACCTCGGTGAAATTTCCTAACCGACCCCCGATGGGTGTATCCTGTTTGGCGTCACTTGGTACGCTTAAAGGATCTGCCTCCCGCTCCTCTATATGGGCGTCTGGACTGGAACTGGCCCCTGGCTCCCGGGCTTTGGCGATCCTGGGTTCGATCCTGTCTCGGGTAGAAGGATCGTGAGCCTCTGGGCCAGTCCCAGGATTGCCCTGATCGAAAGGGCTGCCTCCATTCCCAGGGGCTTCCTGGGCGGGAGCCCTGCCTCCGGAAGTCCTGACTGCCTCTCCTGTCTAACTTCTTTGATGGATGTACTAGGATTTTTTTCTTGTCTCTGCCTTCGCTGACATGTGGATCCAGAATGGAACCAAATAGGGCCTCTCCACTGTATTTGGACGTCGAGAGACGCCATTTGGACCTCAGGTCTGTCTTCCAGTTTTTGAGCCACAGTAGCCTACGCGAGGCCACTGTGGCCGCAATGGATCTTGCCGCATACTTTGTTGCGTACAGTGAAGCGTCAGACATGAACTGAGAGGCCGCGAGGAGTTTGGCCAATGTCTGGTGTACTCTGACCTGGTCTGGAGGCACCGTGCCCTGCAGTTCCCTCAGCCACATGATGCAGGCCCTCGCGAAGAATGATGATGAGGTGGCTGCTCTGGCCGCCCAGGCTGCAGCCATATGGGAACGCCGGAAGGAGTGTTCAAATTTCTTCTCCTCAGGTTTCAAGACCTCCGCCATGTCTCCTGGAATCGCGGAGGTAGAGAATAATGAGATCAAGGGGTTATCTACAGTGGGAACCTCTAACATGTTAGAGAAGGAGGGAGATAGGTTGAAAAGCTTCCTCTCCGCGCTGTTAGGTGCCGGTGGGCTTGCAAGTGAGGACCATTGTTCCTCCAGCGTGGTCATGAAGACCTCCGCACATGGAATGTACTTGTCCTGTGGGACCTTTTTGGCAAATAGAGGGTTGGCCTCCTTGCTTGTCGATGGCCTCTCATCCTGTACTGATGTTAGGCTGACTGTGGAAACTGCCTTTATCAGGAGTGATTTTAGGAGCGCTGGGTTAAAGAGGCCAGAGCTCGTCTCCTGCTCAGGTGCGGTTTCCTCGTCCTCCGATAGGGGCATGTCTGACATGTCAAGATCTACTGAGTCACCCTCTCCTAGTTGAGAGGAAGATTCAGAGATGTTGGTAGGGGGTGGCCTAGCTCGTCCCTTACGGGGTGTGTGAAAGGCCACTTGCCCTTTGGAAGCCATGAATTGGGAGAATGCATCCTGCATGAATGCCTGAAATTGTGCCGACCATATGTTCTCCTGCGCTTTGTCGCTGGGGTGAGGCGCTGGAGTGTGGTCGGGTGAGGGAGAAGAAGCTGGTGAGGAGGGATTGGAGGAATCTAACTGTTCAGTTTCCCCAGGAGGAGACCAAGTCTTGAGCACTTCCTCGGCAGTAGGTTCTGTGCTGGGTGCCGCCACTGGGACAGGGGAAACCAAATTTGTCCCATTGGCATTGGTTCTCTGTGCCCTGCTAATTTGTCTTTCTAAAGCCAAATGTCTCCTCAAAGCCTCTCGCTCAGCCGTTTTAGACTGTCCCTTCTGAGTAAGGTGCTTTGTTTTAGCTTTCTTCTTCCCCCCCACCTCTGATTCAGAGGATCTGCGTTTTCGCTGCTGCTGTGGGGGGGACAATTGAGGGACCTGTGTGACTGAATACGAGACATTGTCTGCCATTGTGCCAGACACCCCGAGTAGGAAATGCCTGGGATGGGGGAATGAGGTACGCAGATCAGAGGCAGATGCTTGGGACTGTGCCCTCCTCTGCCTATACAAACAATGGCCGGACAGACAGGATTCTTTGGACAGAAGATCCTGCCAGGCAGTGACTAAAGGCCACTATAGGAACAGTTAGGGAAGAATATTTCTCCTCACCTCCTCACCTAGTCCAGACAAGGTGCAGTTTATATCTCTCTCTCTCCCCCCCCAGTCTGTGGCTGTGGCAACAGACCACGATAGGAAAACGGTTCTTTTTGCTTTCCCTCTTCCTTCCTCTGTCTCAATTTCCTTGGGTAACCTCAGATCCTTGCAAGGGAAAAAACCCTTTGTTTGCCGGAAAATGGAGTCCGGATGATGGCCCCGCCCCCAAGGGGAAACGGCGGGAAGATCAATTTCCAAAATGGCGAATGGGGAAGAAGCCACGCCTCCCAATGGAAGCCCGGGAATCCACGAGGTTCAAAAACAATGGCGGATCCTGATTTTTGCAATCAGGAAGACTCCTCTAGTCATGAGGGGGCTGCGCCTTTCCTCTGGATAGAAGGAAATTCAGCGCCGGCTTTGCTCTTGCCGCGTTGTCTATCGCGCCGCTCAGCTGATCGCAGCCGAGCGGCGACTTGGTTTGCCGCTTCCCGCGCGGCCCAGCTGTTTCGCGCCGAGCGGCGCTCAGCTCCCTCGGCCAGGCTGCTCAGCTGTTGGGAGGGCCCGGGGGGCTACGCGCAACCCGGTGAGATCCCCCGTGCCAAACAGCTGCTCGGCAGGCCGGAAGAAAGGGTGAGCGATCCGGCCCGTTCCGAGCCTCCCCAGCTAGCCCCACTCACGAGTCCGCCGATCCTGGCTGCCTCTCTCAGTTCTAATCGCTGCCAGGAAGTTTCTCTTGCAAAGGGAAGAAGAGGGGATTCCTTTTTTCTGTTTTCTTTGAGTTTAAATTCGTTTGGTTCTGAGAGCTGCCTCTCGCACTTGTACCAGGCTTCGAGACTGAGTCAAAACTGGGGTCACGCCCAAAGGAAGGGGTGTGGCCGAAGTTTTTACCTAGTCTGCCAGGCAGGAAGGCCGTCATAGAACCCATCCATTTGGACTCTACAGTCATCCTGCTGGAGAATGTTTTTTTTTATTTACGATATTTTTTCTTCAATTTATTTGTGTCCTCCTTTTCATTGTAAAAAAGTTGGTCACCTTAAAAATATGAATTTCAGAAAGCTAGTTAAAATAGGTATTTATAGAACTACAAAAAATAGTTGCTATAGGCTAAAATAAATGTCTAAGAAAATCTTTCTGACATGTGACATTATTTATTCCTCCCAAAAGCAAATTGGAAACTCAAGAGATGCCACAGTTTTGCTGACCCACATCTCATCTGAGACTGTATTAATGGCCATCAGGAATCCTCTGGTCTCAGTTCCACAGAAGGGATATGAAATAACATTACTTTAGCATGCTAGTTGGAGTAGATGAAACATTTATACAAAAACTTTATCTCAAATATTCTTGGGTGGTGAAATCCACCTGTTATTGTTTAAATGGTGGTAGCAACAGCACAAAGAACACTTCAAAAAGGCAAAAGAAGGGCGGGTGTCAGCTCAAGGAACAGAACAACTTTAAAGGTGATGAAAGAATGCAGCACAAGTAGAGAAATGAAGGTAGGAAAATTCATTCCTCTGTATGACAAAAGGATGATGGGGACAATGTTATCTATCAAGTTTTTATCCGAACAAGAATAATCAGGATTTCTAAAGCTTACTCCAAGGGTATTGAAATTGTAGACCAGGCTGGGAAAGGTGATCTTTACAATAACATGGTAAAGTAAGTTAGGCTGAAGGTCTTCCACTGAGTTCTGATTTGAACTTTGTCACTTCAAGTGCTAATCCAAGGTTAACTGCTACAACATATTGGTTTTTCACTGGCTTGGCTATTACCATCCATACTGCACGCACACACACTAGCCAAATAAGGAATCAAAATTCTGTATTACATAGTAGACCACCAATTGCCTTGATTTTCTAATTGCCTTTTCAGTAAAGCTGACAGCCATTGTTTTTTGGTTACACAGGGAGGGATTACAGCTGGCAGAATTGAAATATGGAACACTTAGATAAAACAGAATTTACACTGAGAATCCAATTTCTTATTTAATAGTCTTCAGAAGGAAACACATCTGAATATATTGGAAGAGATAAGATTTTTCTTTCTACTCTAGGCAGTGATTAAATATTAATATTAAATTACATTTTTATAGTGAAGAGAACACTGAAAAATTTACTCATTCATTGTTTGCATAGGGAGGGAGGGAGGGAGGGAGGGAGGGAGGGAGGGAGGGAGGGAGGAAGGAAGGAAGGAAGGAAGGAAGGAAGGAAGGAAGGAAGGAAGGAAGGAAGGAAGGAAGGAAGGAAGGTGATACATACCTGGACTATTTCTAACATTTCTGCTTTGCTGATGTATCCATTTCCGTCCAGGTCATACATACTGAATGCCCACTTCAGCTTTTGCTCCAGTTTCCCTCGGGACGTTACACTCAAAGCTATGATAAATTCTCTGAAATCTATTGTTCCATCGCCATTTGCATCAAATGTACGGAACACATGTTCAGCAAATTTAGAAGCGTCCCCATAAGGAAAAAAATTCCCATAGATTTTCTTAAATTCCTCCATGGACAAATGTCCACTTGGACAGTCTCTGAGAAAGCCTTTGTACCATTCCTGGATCTCATGTTCAGTAAAGTCTGTGCTTTCTAGCAAATCTTGCATCACTTCTGGGCGTAACTTGCTGTTCTGTTTTCCCATGGTGGTATCAGGATTTTATCTAAAGAAGGGAGGGAGAAAAAGCAGTTTATTCTCTTGTTTACAAAACCAAGGGATGATGAGCAGTGTGGGCCTTAGACAATCTTTTAAAAGGCTGGTTCTCTTGGTGATGATTAACATTTTCATTTGAAATAGCTCAACGAAGTCCACTTCTCCCAAACCAGAAGAATCCCTCAGCATGCAAATGAGAAATAACATATTTTGATTTGTAATTGAACTTCCTTACGTGAATACCATTTTGTGTTTTGTAAGACAGTATGGAAGAGAGATCCCTGCTCTTAAGTGGGAAGAGACATGAAAGACGGAAGAAGGATCTAGCTAGACATGATCTAATGAGCCAATGCAAAGCCTTACCAAAGGCCTACTCAGAGGCCCTGTTTTCTTTAAGGCAGTTTATATCCTGTAATGCAGAGTTTCTCAACCTTCACAATGTACTGGATGGGGAATTCTGGGAGTCAAAGTCCACACATCTTATAGTTACTAAAGTTTAAAAACACAGTTGTAGTGAATTGTTTTATTTACTATATTCATATAGCTATCTATCTTACATTATGACCGGGGGGGGGTATACATAATAAAACAATTATCTATTTCCAGAGGGCATAACCAAAAGAGGTTTTCAAAAAAATGTCAGTTTTACAAATTTCACTCTAAAAGCTTACTGCAGGCATATTAACCTAGTGATCCCCAAATGATTTTGACTGCAATTCGTACATGCAATAGCTAAACCCACTGTTTACAGGTATTGGAACCTTTAATCTAAAATACCTGAAAATACTTATTCAATAGTAACAGTGGGATATCTGCTCCAATAATCAAAGCCAGGGCAAGACAAATTCATACAGACTTTCTGAAATGTAAAGAACAGAAAGGGTTACAAAATCATATTGATCAACTAATTAGATTAGTAATGTCCATATAAAAGAGACAACATTTCTGTGTTTAATGCACATTATTATAAATATTAATGGTGTTGTTCTATTGTTTGTCAGGTTTCTGTGACTATTATATCATAAATTTGTGAAAGTACACATAGCACTTTTTTGGTAAAAATAAAAGGCAGAGAATGTGATTAAGGATTCAATGCAGTATGAATTTTTCATACTCCTTTATATTCCTTAATGACCAGCTCTCAAATCCAATTAGTTATTTTAAACTGGTTTAGGTAAGATTCTTTGATTTTTTTAAAAAGAAAAAAGAAAAAGAAAAAAGCCAATAAAATACACATTTTTAAAACTGGAAAGTCTTTCCCCCTGAAAGTCATTAAAAATGTAGCCCCAAACATTGTTCTAATGTCCACATTTATAATTAAGTTATGAAAATTAGATTTCATTACCAGAACTTCGCTATAGTCATAATGGATCTAAGAAATTAAAATCACGTCATATATCTAATAAGCAACATTTTAAAAACCAACATTTCAACAACAAATTCAGCAATTTCATTAGTTTTCTCAATAGTTCTCTACAAGGGAGTACGTGAAGAAAAAGATTCTCAACGTCTTGAATAATGAGAGATTCTTTGAGTTATTTTCAGGAGTTACAACAGCAATTTCTACACAGGAAGTGGTGGTAAACAAGATTACATTTTGGTAGATGGTCACTTTAATAGCATAAACAAAGGCAGAAAATCCAAACCCACAAAGAAATGATTTTCCCCAAATATGTCTTAAGGAAATGCAATTTAACATCAAAATTACCATCATACTGTAAATGTGGTACAAAATACAAGAACATCCCACTGCTCCATCCCTTTCCAGATTTCTGTTCCTTTCCCTGTTCCTCTCACCACAATCCACTTATATCCCAAGGAAGCTCATAAAGATCTCTATCTTATTTATCCCCAAAACAAACCCATCATGTAAAATGACGTGTGATTAGCATAAAATCTTCAAGAAAGCTATATGACTTAGAGTTCGAACACAGAACATCTCCCCTTTTCTCTGAGACTTTAACCATGATGCTACATTAATTCTTATAGGTTTTTGGCCTTCTTAATGTAGGGTTGGGGGGAGTTTCCTTCCTGTTCAATCTTGTCCAATTCTCATAGACTGCCTGGATAAATCCCTACAATTTTCTTGGCAAAGTTTCTCAGAAGGGGTTTGCCATTGCCTCCTTCCTAGGGCTGAGAGAAACTGACCAGCTAAAAGTCACCTGGTTGACTTTGTGCCTAAGACTTGACTAGAAGTCATGGTTTCCCAGTCCAGGGGTATAATTTAATAAGAGTTTTAATAATAATGTACCACAGGCTCAGACTAAGTATGAACTCCCAGTAAGTTGCAGTAATTGTCTACAGTATATCTTCTACACTACCTTAATGGCTTTTCCAACTTGAGGTTCCCTCCAGCCTCAATATATTGGCTCACATCTCTAATTACTCCCAGCCACCACAGCCACATAGATCACCTTATATGGATTGTGTCAAATAGAAGTACTGTGAAAGGAATTTTTATTATTCAGTGTGTGCCCAATGTGCTCATACCTAAGACATCCATGTTCCCTCAGTCTCTACTTGTTTAGTGTATAAATCAATCGATTTAGTCTACTTTTTTAGTGTAGATTTAGTTACTAAACTGCTTAACTATCTTTCCTGAATACAACTCTATCGTGGCATATATTTTCCTTGAATTGCAATCTTTGTTTAATCAATGAATGGCATTCGATTCACAATGTCTCCATAAAGCGCAACATTCCCGAAGATGCTGATAATGGTATTATAGCATTACCAAAATGGAGTCCAGGGTCAAAGAATCGGAATAACAGCCAGTTTGATTGGTGTTCATGGTGCATTAGCACACTTTTACAATCTTGTCAGAAGGGGATGAACAGAATTCTGTATGTTCTAACCTGTAATCGGTTATAAAGCAACTCTTTGTTAATAGCCAAATGTGCTCTTCTTCAATCTTTGTAACATATATAAGAATTTGGCGGACAGTCTCTGGCATTCTTATGGCAGGAGACTAGTGACTCATTCTAACTGGCTAGCTTTAATAAAACAACTGTTGGATCCCCTCCAATTGTTGGTGTGTTCTTAGGTAGGTTTTTTCCAGGATGTTGCCTTACCTGTTCTTTTTGCTATCCTTCTGTGATTGGTCTCTCACTCAAATTACTTCCAACTGGAAGAGGGAGTTTTACTTTTCCTAATAGATAACATGACATGTAGGTGCAGCTATCCAAACAAAACCTGCAAAGGGCTAATAATCAACTATCCCAGTTGCCCAAAAAAAAAGGGGGGGGAACCAAAACAAGGAAGCATTTTTTCAGCCAACTATCCTAACTGTAAAGGTCCGATGACACAAAGCTAAATAGCAAATCAAAAGGTATATGTGATCTTTATAGCCAACAAAACACAAAGCAAACCAACATCTGTAATTATATGAGTATCTCTGGTCAAGATAATTCAACCAGGAAGAAAGCCACAATACGTTTGGGAGGTGGGCAAATGCGCGCACATGCACACATACTCATCGTGTTCCAGTGAAATGAATGAAGCATCTGGAGCATAAGGAATGACAGATTTGAAATCCAGAAATATCCATAATGGAGAAATGGATCGGGAAGATGGCAGAGCTTGCAGAAATGGCTAAATTGACTTGTTTGATTAAGGAAGGAACAACAGTTATAAAACATTGGAAAGCCTTTATAGACTTTTTGTTGAAAATGGATAAATAATGGGTGGTTTGGGGATTTATTGATTGAAAGGTTTGTTTAAGGGAAAAAGGGAGCCATGATATGTAACCTAGAAGGGTGGAGATGGTAGTTATTATGTTTGTAACGGCTGTAAAGATTGGAAGTCACTTCTCTAGGTATCCCTCTTTTTCTTTGTCTTGTGTTCTTTCACTTTTTCTTTTATTCTTTCATATTTCTTTTTCACATTTTGGTTCTGTAGTTTTTTAATCTCATGTAAAATTTTCTTTATATTAAAAAAACACTCCAGATCAGAAATGTTTTTGAGGAACAAAAGCTTGCATACACAAAAATTGAGTGCAAAATATACTTCACCATAATAAAATAATAAAGAATGAAAACATGCATTTAGATGTTTTCATAGTCCAAACACCAATTTTTAAAGTATTTAGTCCTAAAATAAACTCTATGAGGAGAGGGGAAGATTGAACTGCCAATGTATTAGTGCAAAGTGATCCTCTATAAATAAGGAGCAAGTACTAAATTGAAAGTTATCCTTTAGAAAAGGGCTACATGATTTGAACATGATTCCATGCAGTACAATTAAGTCTGAATTGCCTAAAAATGCTTAACAAAGGATCCTCAGTTCATGGATTGGATGGGATTAAAGTAGGAGGAGGCAACATTTGAGCAACTGGGTTGCAACTTGGTCTCCTGTTTTTCCAGATAGGCATTTATTTGTGTTTGATTGTATATTACAACATTTCTAGGCTGCTCTAACCTTTCACAATTCAGAGTGGTTGACAAAAAATGACGTAACATCTCTGGAAGTGATAGGGCTAAATATTTCCAGTCTTTCTATATAGTGAGGGATTAGGGTAGAAATGGAGACAGGATGACCTGGAGGTCTACCCATTCCTTTCCCTACTCTTAAATCTTCCCAAACAGTCTAAAGTCTCACCAATAAAATCCAGTGATTTTGCTATCAAATTTCATAGGCACAATCTGGCCATGCTGGGAGTTCAGGAAGGAGTATCAATGTCTCCAATTTATACAGAGCAACTTTTCTGAATTCAAAACATAGCCCAGCTTTCCCTGACCTGGAGTCCTTTAATGATGCTGGGACTATAATTCTCCATCACTTTACTTTGCTAGCAGTGTCATCACGAGTGCTGTCAGTGTGTGTACATGCACACATAAATGTTTGGGAGCAGCCTTCTATGCAGCTGTGCAACCCGTACAAAGAACATGATTATTTTAACACTCTGGAAAGAGCTGTACCGCTTATATTTTTGTACTTAGCACAGCATTATTTCAAACACTTTGCAGAGCCCTGCTAAAGAACATAGTTTCAACTGCATTTGTTCTTTAATAT